AGGTGGTGGGGTATTTTCACAGACACTTTCATGCCGGACAGACGTCTTCGAAGTGGTGGGGGCGGGGGGGGGTAAACCACACTTGGCTCAATCGCAAGCGAATCTGCCGATTGTACAAACCGTGGTGATCCCCGCCCCCCCCACCGTGGATATTGCTGGGTGTGGGCAGAGGCTGGGGGGGGATTGGTTAGCAACACACTGGACTTGTAATCCAGAGGTCGCCGGGAAGAAGCGAGTAAGCAGATTTATGTTTTTTAAGTGAACCCTTAAACGTTTACATGTGGTGCTTATTTGAGAACTATTTTGGCGAGGGTTTTACAAAAATGCAGCTGCGTGAGACAGGGCAGTAGGTGTTATCTAAGATTGCAACGTGTTGTTTTATCTCTCCAAGTGTACGTGAGAGAGAGTTTGTGTGTGCGTACGTGAGAGGGTGAGCGAGAGATAGTGTTGTGTGCGTGCATGTGTCAGGAGTCTTCACGGCTACAGAACTTGAGCGGCGGGGCAGTGGTTGGCGAAGTGTGCTTCAAAAACGGCGACCTGGGTTCGATTCCCGGCCGCAGCTGACATCAGTGACGAGTGATGCCAGGACAACCCCTGGGTCCTGCTCCCTTACGTCAATTTGATTTTGAAATAATATTGCACATCCGATTAGCACGGTTGGCTGTGTACTGTGTGAAAAGTTTAACATACATTCGCTGGTGCGATGTGTAAACATCAGCATTGGGAAGACAAAGGCAGCCAGGCTTGGTGATGTGTGTGTGTGAATGTCAGCCTTCATGGGGGCTCAATGATGGCACTTGCCCCAACATATTTACTTAAGATGTACGGGGATGTATTGACACGTTTACCCTGCATTGCCACCATGTACTCCAGCTTAATCTCACCTGAAGTGGCCTGCTTTACCCCACGCTACCTTTCCTTTACCTTACCCTGCAGTACCTGGGCGGAGGTGAATCATTACACCCCCGAGGGATGTAATGATTCACCTCCACCCACACACATTTGGAAGAATTGTGTGTAGTGCCAACTGGTAGCATCCCCCCCCCTGCCACTTGCCCTACCCCCCCAAACAATCTACACTGAGTAGCGTAGTGAAGCGGTCAAAACAACCTCTGTGGCCGACTCGGCTTGGGCAGTCCTTCATGCAGCAGCAGATGGACAAAGGGCTGTAAGTCAGTTTTAGCTGTTAGTATCCTGCCTTGCCCCACCAGGTAATACGGGATTATCCGGTACCATGACATGTAAAGGGTGCGGAGTGAAGGACGTCATTCGCCATACTTTCACATTCATCAAACAAAATAACAAATCCAGATCAGGCCCTCACTGTCGAGATGTTAACTACGTCGCCTGGTATACAGGAGGTCGTGGGTTCGATCCCGATCCTGACACCTGTATATTTGGAGTTTGCGTGTTCTCCCCGTGGTCGCGTGGATTTTTCTCGGTGTCCTCCGGTTTTTCCCTCCACATTTAGAAACATGCGTTTAGAATATTTGGCTGCTATAAATTTACACATGATAAGCCACTTCGTTGGACTTTCACCTGTGGCCAGGTCGCTTTTGAAAAGGAGCGATAGAGCTCGGTGGGCCTTACCTGGTAAAATAAAATTTTTTTTATAGTTTGAGACGGCCTCACAGGCTGTCGTTACAAGTGTTGTTCGCGACCGCCTATGAAAGCTGGCATAGTACCTCACCCAGCAGCTTTTGTCTCCCCACTAATGACATTCACACAGCACTAGATATTAATTTTAAGGCTGAGTGATGTTTTGTATAAACGCTACTTAGCCGGGAGCAGGAATCGCACTGGGGTAGCTGGGTACATGACTCAGTTCGCTCACCCACCCTACTACCGCTCCCGACCTTAGTCTTGACCCACGCTCGCTCGCTCGCTCGCACAGTGAGTGGCAGAGCGTGTGCTGACACGCATTAGCAAAACAATCCGATATTACGTGGATACATTTGCAGTGCAGCCTGGTGACGTGGCAGAACCGACAAACCGAATAATCCCTTTTATTGTAATGTTTTTCTCGCCCTACCATGCGAGGACGCTCCCTTCCCTTGGGAACGCTTCTGATTTTGCGGTTGGTGGTGGCGGCTGAGTCAGCCTGCGTGCATGTGCGTGCGTGTGCGCGTGGGAGGGAGGCGCGGAGCTTTGGATGGATATTGGGCTTTGCGCGCGCGCACGTTCCATTCGCCTTGGGCATAGAGCCCACGAGGTGGGGACGCGGCACGGACGTTGATGTGGCTGGCAGAGGAGCTGAGTGATCTCCCTCCGCAGATCCTTTCATGTCACCGTGCCGGAAAAAATAATTGACTTGCTTGATGATACAGCGCAATCGGGTTTGGCTTCAGATAGCTTTGCTGCTGTGATGGCTGACGTGGCTGACGTGGCTGCCTCGACTGTCCCTCGGGCTTGTCGAAGGGCCCTCGGCCTCTCCGAGAATGCCCTGGGGGACTCATTGGTGCTGCCCTGCCTTCCCCGGCTCTCCCTGCAGCTTATTGTTGCTGGATGCGCTGATCCCAGGTTGCTTCATCGCAGACGATGCCGTGCTGTCTTCTGTCTCATACATTTCCCCCTCCGAGACCCATTTCCCCCCCCCCCCTCTCTATATTCTAATTTTATAAAGTGTCAAGAGATCCGATTGCATTTATGGTCAAACGGCCCCCGATTGCTGACGCGACGTGGGCAGGCCTTCATCCTGCGGTGTATTGACAAAGAGTCATCGATGTATTATTAATATTTCAACCTTCGTCTGAAATGCACGTCATTGCAATAGAATTCACTTTAGCCATTAACATTGTTGTCGTCTAAAATCTTGAATGAGCCCGCAACTCGGTATGCTGTGCACAATGGAATCGTGATAAAAATAAAATTGTGACTCTGCGTTTAACAGGACCGGTTCATTGAATCACAGTTGGGAGAGAATCTTTACTTGCTTGCTGTTACTGTACTGAACAAAGTGCTCCGTTTGCTGCATAGTGGACCTTAATGACCCGGTGATGTCAATGGTGGCAGTAGCCAATCGTATATCGGGGCGGGTGCCTCGCCTGGTATACAGGAGGTCGTAGGTTCGATCCCAACCCTTGACGCCTGCTGTATTTGGAGTTTGCGTGTTCTCCTCGTGGTCGTGTGGATTTTCCCCCGGGTCCTCCAGTTTTTCCTTCCACATTTAGAGTATTTGGCTGCTATAAAATGTCCACGTGATAAGCCACTTCGTTGAGCTATCATTTGTGGCCAGGTCGCTTCTGGAAAAGAGCTGTATTGCTCAGTGAGTCTTACCTGGTAAGAGAAAAAGTTAATTTTGTACCTGCAAATTATGAATAAATAAATAATGGCTCGCATGACAAACGTTAGCAAGAATGCTAATTTAAGACACTTGCGCCATTGTTTCAACGGCGACCTCTGTACCGCGAGTCCGGCGTATTCACCACTACACCCTGGCAAGCATCACTTCTGTCGCTCGGTTACCGTAACATGTGTTTTTCAATGGCTGTGTTGAATTCCTCGAGTCTTATTGCCACGGGGAAAAACCCCCGTCTGGTTAACAGGGAAATTGCACAGGGTTCACCAGTAAAGCAAAGAAAATCTTTCGAAGCAAGATGCTAACATGAAAGTAAAAAAAGAATGGGGGAAAAAAATCCCTTCTCACCTGGGTTCAAACGAGGGCAGAGAAACAGGAGAAATAAAAAAAGAATGAATGTAAAGAGAGACAGTGTCACACACGCACACACAGACCAAAAAAAATCCCCTTGAGTTTAAAGTATAAAAAAAACGTCGTGGAATTTAAACAATCCGGTGGCGTGGAGCTGTTCCGCGGCGTTTGATGTGGCGTGGCCATGCGTGCTCCCAAGAGCGCGAGCACCCGAGATGCTCGGAGAGATCCCCGGACTCGGCTCACACGGTCGTTCGTCCGCCACCGCCAAGTCTGATCAAACTCCACCAGAGACGGGGCCCCCCCTCCCATTCAAGTCGACTTGTGCGTGTGTGCGGGTGCACGTTCGTGTGTGTGTAGACAGCGGTGGTGCAGTGGTCAGCACGCTGCGCTACGAACCCGGTGACCCGAGTTCGATTCCCGCTCACGGCCAACACAGTGACGATTATCTGAACCGGTCATGGGCCTACCCTAGGACGACTTGGCCTCAAACTGGCACGAGGTGTGGTGTGTAAACATCACCACTGGGAGACAAAGGCAGCCGGGCGTGGTGTTGGCCACCGACCCCCTCGTGTGCCATGGCCACCTTCATAGGTGCTCGCTAACAGCACTTGCCCCAACAGTCTGTTCAGACTATACGGGGAATATTTGTCTTTGTACAGACACTATCAGGCAGACTGGTAGCACAGTGGGGAGCCAAGATGTTGCATCTGCCAGTCAACTCACTCCGTTAACCCGTACAAAACACCTCCTACCGGCGAGTCTGACGCTTGACGGAATCTCAAAGCGGGACCTGGGCTGACATTTGGTAGTGAATGGCGGTTGTTGTTTGCATTGTTGTTTGCACCGCAGCGCTACAAACCCCGGTGGCCCGAGTTCGATTCCCGGCCACAGCGAACATTGGTGTCGATTATCTTCGGCCTTCCTTAAGTCGACTCAACCCATAAATGAGTGCTATATGTGGTGTGGTGTGTAAACAGCAGCAGTGGGCATGGTGGTGCCCCCCCTCCCCACCCAATGTGCGGTGCTGGTTTGCGTCAGTGCGTGCTATAACAGAACTTGCCGCTATTGTCTATTTAGGCTTTACGAATAAAAATAACAACGCCTTTTGAACGTGCAGTAATGGCACTGCATCTTCTGAACGTGATCAATTATGCTCACCTGCTTCTGCTTAACTCATTTTTTGAAATTGTTATTCAAGACAGCATTTATAGCAACTAAATTTGCCACTGCAATGCTGCTGTGTGTCCCTATCATGGAGGTGTCATCGAGTCCCCGTGGATCTCTTGGGTCCGTGTGAATCTCATGTCCATCCCCTCCCCCCGCCGCCGTGTGCTCCTGTGCGTTACAGATACGACTACAAGGAGATGCTCTACAACTCCACCTTCTGTCTTGTCCCGCGGGGCAGAAGACTCGGATCCTTCAGGTTCCTCGAGGCTCTGCAGGTAGGAGGAGCGACGGCGCCCGGCGCTCGCACTTTAACGTACACCCGTGCTCGCCGTCGCTCGCGCCCACCACGACTTTTGCCGTGGCCCAGTCACCCAAAATTATTAACCCGATTCACGTCGGATCTCAGAAGCTAAGCAGGTTTTGAGCCTGGTTAGTACACGGGCGGTGACCTGGCCTAGCACAGCTTGTTTGCAGAGATTCTCAGTTGGAATCCACCGGTTGTCCTGATTTAATTTTGCAGTTGTATTAATCGTAAAAATAGGCCCCGTTTGTTTCAAAGTGGACGTTAAAGATCCCGCGATGTCATTTGTAAGAGTTAGGACCATTGTGTGGCAGCATTATGGTCCAGATTTGATCAAATTTCTAAAGTTACCTGCAAAATTACTCGATTGGAAATTGCATCGCAATCATCGCCCCCTTTGAAAACTTGGTAGGAACCTCCTGAAAGAGAGTCATGAGACTTGGTGAAGCTTTCCTGGGTCGACAAGGAGAAATAAAACAAAGAAACGTGGATGGGTTCCCTCTGAGCGGGCCAGATGTTTTGGGCGTTTGGCTCCGAGGTGTAGCCTGGAGATAGCAGTGTTGGGAGTCAGTCTCACGTAAGCGTGGTGGGTTTTCTCCGTGTACTGGTTTCCTCCCCCATTCCAAATTCTCATTTTCTCATTGGCGGAATTGGCCAAACATCTCCCAAGCATTCCAGTACAGGACCCTCCTGAAAGAGTGTCTTGAGACTCTTGAGGATTTGCACGGTATATAATTTCCATAATTATTATTTTCACGCCCATGTTTTTGGCCATAAGCTTGCCATGTTGCCGGTGTGCTGTAAAAGTGAGGTGTGTATGCACGCGCCCGTGTGCCTCTTGTATCTTTGTGCCACACCCTTGGTTGCCATGCGTCTTAACGCCTGCCCGACTTGTTATGTCTATTCTGGGGGTGATCCGTGTCTGCCTTGTGTTTGGTCTGCCTTCGTGTCTCACGTCAGAGCCGAGTCTGATTCGTGTGTCTGACTCATGCCTGGTCTATGTCCGTGACCCTTGTCAGACCCGTGTCAGATCTGTGTCAGACCCGTGTGTGACCCGTGTTTGACCCGTTTCCACGTCGCGTGCGTGTGCTTGCGGTAGGGTCGCGGTTAGTGCACTGCGTTACGAACCCGGCAACCCGAGTTCAATTCCCGCTCACGGCGAACACCAGTGACAATTATCTAAACCTGTCCTGGGCCTCCCCTAGGTCGACTCGGCCTGAATTGAATATCTGGTTCGATGTGTAAATATTGCCACTGGGGAGACGAGGTGCTTGGCCACCCGCACCCCTTCGTGTGCCGTGTCGGCCTTCATTGGTGCTCGCTTTCAGCACTTGCCCCAACAGTCTGTTCAGTATTAAGGCTATATGGGGGATCTTTGTCTTGTGCGCGTGTGTGCGCAGGCGGCGTGTGTGCCTGTGCTGCTCAGTAACGGCTGGGCCCTGCCTTTCTCGGAGGTCATCGACTGGAACAAAGCGGCCGTCATCGGAGACGAGAGGCTGCTCCTCCAGGTGAGCCCAGCGCTGTAACCCAAATTATTTATCGTTTATAAATCTTATTAAATCCTTTTGTGTCTTTTTACCCCAGCTGTATGCCGGTTGTGCTGTAACTTGGCTTTCGACTTTTAATATTGCATTTCAGATTTACATACGAAATAAAAAAAGACCTCGCTCACCATTACACTCGCTCACCCCAACACTCGCTCACCATTATATTCTCACCCCAACACTCGCTCATCCCAGCACTCGCACGCCCTAATACTTCCCCGCCCCAATGCTCGCTCACCATAGCACTCACTCGACTTAACACCCGCAAACTCTGCTGAATGCTCACTCGATCCTCGCTGTAACACTCACCATCAAAATCTCTTCTGGAGGGGGGTGGGGGAGGCGTGTAATGTTTACACTGCCGTACGAAGCGCATTGTGTGTATTGTGCCCAAAGCTGTCGTGAACAGAATGTCGCGTTGATCTCCTACACGTGCCGTGATGGGTACTGCTGAATTGGTTTTTGGTTGCTGAACAAATACATTTTAAGGTCAGAGTCATTATACAAATGAATCACAATACCTTGCTCATCTCATCAAGGAGCATATAAACCATCATGCAAACTCAGGTCATCCTCGCAGTGGCTTTTGGCTAAGCCATCGAACAAAGATGGTCACTGCATCGCGCACTTTCAGATGTGCTTCTGCGGCCATCTGGAGCGCTCTTCCGATATTAGGAATCCACTGGAGCTATGCACTTTTAAATCATCTCGATTGTGTTTACTTTGTTGTCCTTCCCCCGCACCTCCGGTTAGCATTGTTGGCTGCGTGCTGTGCGAAAGAAGTTCAATATACATACATGAGGTTAAGTTTGAACTGCATGTAATGTATTCATTAATTAGAGCATATTGCCACCGAGGCCAGTCGCTTGCTCACTCGCTTGGCGTCAGCGCTTTGAGGCCAGCAAGGAAATATTGTGACCCCCTATCGCCAACCCCGAATGCTGACCCTGACCTCCACATGTCCGCGTATCCCAGATCCCGTCGACAGTGCGGTGGCTCGATCACGACCGCGTGCTTGCCATGAGGCAGCAGACGCAGCTCCTGTGGAACGCGTACTTCTCTTCCATCGACAAGATCGTGCACACCACGCTCGAGGTGAGCCCTGCTCGCTCGCTCGCTCGATCATGAGCTCGCCCTCTTACTTGCTCATTAACTTACCCATTCTCTCACTCATTTACCTGCTCGCTAACTTTCTCGCTCGCTCGTTCACGGCCGGACGCGTCTTTTTCAGCCACACTATAATTTCGTGTGCCGCGCTAGTCTGAGCAGTCCCTCGTCCAACAGCGCTTTGCCACAACATTCTGCGCAGGCTGCACATACGGAGGGTTAAACTTTGTCGTGGTGTGCGCCTGCCTGCCAGATTGTGCGGGAGCGTGTGGCCGGAGTGGCAGTGCGCCCGGCGCTTGTGTGGAACCACCCACCCGGCGGTCTCCACGTGCTGCCCGGCTTCTCGTCCGCCCTGGCGCACTACCCCTTCTACCACGCCTACCTGGGTGAGTGCCGGCGAGGGCGGCTCGCATCCCGGGGGAAACAAGATCCTAGCTGAACCATTCGCGACGTGCAGAGGCTGGGGTTTCATGAGTAATGATGTGTGTGTGTGTAACTGTGTAGTGGGGGGAGAGTGGGGAGCGGTAGTGTAGTGGTTAGCGCGCTGCACTCCGGACCTGGCGACCCGGGTTCGATTCCCGCTTACAGTAAACACCAGTGACGATTATCTGAACCGGTCCTGGGCCTCCCCTAGGTCGACTCAGCCTCAAATGAGTACCTGGTTGCGGTGTGTAAACATCGCCACTAGGGAGACAAAGGTGGTCGGGCGTGGTGCTGGCCACCCACCCCCTCGTGTACCGTTCCGGCCTTCATAGGTGCTCGCTAACAGCACTTGCCCCTACAGTCTGTTAAGGCTATACGGGGGATCTTTTTCTTTAGTGGGGGAGAGCTAGTGTAATGGTTAGCATACGGCACATCGAACCCGGCAACCCAAGTTCAATTTCCGCTTAGAACCAATAACAGTTATGAGTATCTGAACTGGTCCTGGGCCTCCCCCTAGGTTGACTCACCCTTAATTGAGCACTTGGCAGTCTGCGTGGTGTTGGCCAACCACCCCCTTGTGACAGGCCAGCCTGTATAGGTGCACCTTCCCCAACAGCCTGTTAAAGGCAATATGTGGGATCTTTGTGCATTTGTGTGTGTGTTTCAAGTGTTTTGTGTTTCAAGTGTTTTGTGTTTCATCTATTTGTCGTGTGTGTTTTGTGTGGTTTTGTGCATATTTTACTTGCCCGTGCGTGCCTTCATGCTCCGTTGCACGTGTGTGCGTGTGTGTACGTTGTGTGTGTTATGCGTCGTGTGTTCCCGTCACTCACTTTCATATCCGCCCCCAGGCCAGAGCCCCGAGGCCAAGTTCACCGCCGTGATCCACGCCACTTCGCCGCTCCTCGTGCAGTCGCAGCCGATCATCAAGCTCATCCAGGCGGTCGGCAAGTCCAAGTTCTGTGCCCAGGTGCGTCTTGGGCAAGTCGTGTGGCAAATCCGGTAGTTTCGCTCCTGGCCACATGCGGGGGTGGGGGGCAGAGTTCTCAGCCAACGCAGTTAGAAATGCCCAACGTTTCCCATGATCCCCAGGGATTGGGATTAATTATTAATGATCAGTTCTCAAACACCAGTCTTCGTTTCTGTCCACAGTCCAGGTTTTAAATGTTGAAAGGAAAAAAAGCGGAGGTCAGGGTCGGGCTCGATCCCACGACCTCCTGCATACCAGGTGAGGTAGTTATCATCTCTCCACTGTGGCGCTTGACCATGCTACACCGTGCTGGTCAGTGGGTGTGGGTCGGTTAAGGTGATGGAGCAACCAGGACCAGCTCGGATATCACTCGCTTCTGATGATAGCCATCGGCCAGGTTTCCGGGTTCATCGTGCAGTGTGTGAACCAGCTCTCTGCTAGGGTCACACACAGTGTTGGGTGATCACTGGCTGACGTGTTTTTCGCTGTGTGCAGGTGCTCGTCCTGTGGAACTGCGATCGTCCACCACCCGCAAGAAGCCTCTGGCCAGTGCTACCCGTGCCGTCTCATCATCTCAGAGCCAGTCGCGAAGGTACGGAGTGTCCACGCATTGGCATGTGCTGCATCGGCGCATGTCAACACACGTGCGGGACGTGTATTTCCCAAACGGTGGCAATTTTGCCGCGTGTTGCAGAGGTTCGCGGTTCAAGCCCGGCCGTACTTCCTGGATAATACTTGTATACTTCACTTTTTTTTATTAAGTGACTTGCTTTGCTTTCCTATTCTTTGCACACCTATCTGTTTTTGTATTGTCTGTTGTCGTAAAATTTTGACCCACCCTTACTGGGACATCTGTGAAGAAGAGCTTCATAGCTCATCCGAATTCTTCCAGTCTAATTAAGGATTCTGATTATGAATACCGGCGGGTGACGTTATTCGAAAAACTAGAAGGCCACATGTGGCTGGCATCTCCTTCGAAATTTGCAAAATTGGCCACAAATTCGGTAAATACCACACGGTAACATTGCCGACTTGCAGACCATACCCCACCTCGCCTGGTATACAGGAGGTTGTGGGTTCAATCCCAACTATGATGATGCCTGATATATTTGGAGTTTGCATGTTTTCCCAGTGGTCGTGTGGATTTTCCTCCAGATCCTTCGGTTTACTTCCTCCACATTTAAAAACGACGTCCGTCTTGATAAGCCACTTTGAGCTGTCATTTGCGGCCTTGTCACTTCTGAAAAAGAGATACATAGCTCAATACCTTCTGCTCTAGGAATGAATGCGAATACCAAAATTCAACTTCTTAGATTTGTCTTTTCGTTATGAGCGTTGCGTACGTGCGCGTGCGCTCACGTGTACGTGGTGTCCTTTGTCGCCACTCGCAGACGATCAGCAGCCGCTTTGTGCCGCACGAGGCCGTGACGACAGACGCCGTCCTGAGCCTCGACGAGGACACCGTGCTGTCCACGGACGAGGTGAGCGCGAGTGTGCGCGGGACGCACCGACGAGGTGTCTAACCGGTTGCACAGACGTATGCGATCGAGATGGACTCTGCCACGGTCTCGTGGTGAACGCACTGGACTCACCCACCACCACCACCACCCTGCCCCCCACCGCTTCTGTCCATCGTTCCTCCAGCGGGATACCCCCCCCCCCCTCGCGCCAGCAGTAGAATAAGCACGCCATTTCAGTGCTCCACCTTTGCCTTCAGCTTTTATAAAACACTCCCCAGAATACACACAAACTCGCAGCTAAGCGAAGTTGGATGGGTGACTACCGTGTATAAAACGGGCATCATAGGCTCGCTTTGGGGCCACGTGGTGGTCCACAGCTCCAATTATAACGGTTGGCTACATACGGTGCGAAAGAAGTTCAACATGTGTACAGTACATGCGTGGTGGGCAGTGCGACACGGTGCAGCAAAATCAATTGTTGCACTGTTCCTGCAACCTCTCGCCTCTGTCCATCCACCCAAATGGTTATAATCCACCAAACGGTGATGAACCTTCGAGTTGGCTAAACAGCGTTCGATCCTAACATTTCTGTGTGTGTGTGTGCACGCGTGCTTTGCGCAGGTGGACTTTGCGTTTGTAGTGTGGCAGAGTTTCCCGGAGCGGATCGTGGGATACCCGGCCCGGAGCCACCTGTGGGACAGCAGCAAGAGCCGCTGGGGATACACGTCCAAGTGGACAAACCACTACTCCATGGTGCTAACGGGAGCCGCGTTCTACCACCGGTGAGAGCTGTCGTACACTACTATCATGGACACGTGCAGTGAATGCTGTGCCTTTCATTAGTTTATTTAAATTATTTGGCTGCGATAAATTTCCACTTGATAAGCCACTTTGTTGCGCTACAATTTGTGGCCGGGTCGCTCTGAATAAGAAGCTAAAAGCTCAGAGGGCTTCACCTGGTCAAATAAAATAGTTTAGTTTTAGACGGTCACTGCAATGCACGCTGTCAGATATACTTTTGCGGAATGCTCTTCTCTTCTGATATTAAGAAGCCACTGGAGCTATGCAGTTTTAAATCTAGATTGAAAACTCATCTCTTTAATTGAGTCTGTTGTCCTCCCCCCGCAGCTCTGATTAGCACGATTGGCTATGTACGGTGCGAAAAAAGTTATACGTACATAACGACACATTTATATATTTACGCGATCTAACCCAAAAACCTCTATTATGGATACATACAAACACTAACCCTAACCCCAACACCGTGTCCCCCACCCCTTCTCCCGCACCGCAGATACTACAACTACCTATACACGCACGCGCTGCCGGCATCGCTGCGGGACATGGTGGACTCGCTGTCCAACTGCGAGGACATCCTCATGAACTTCCTCGTGTCGGACGTCATAAAGATGCCACCCATCAAGGTCACACAGAAGAAGCAATACAAGGAGGCCATGATGCAGGTGCGGTGCTGCTGCTGTGCCACATGCTTGTGACGGTGGTCCTGGGTGTTGGGCTTGTTGATGCAGCTGCTGTTGGTGGTGGTGCTGATCATGGGAGTGATGGTGGTGCAATTGCTGGTGGTGATGCTCATGGTGATTTTCGTGGTGGTGGTGCTGGGGTAGACGTACCTATGATTGTATTGGTGGTATTACTGGTGGTGTAGACGTCCCTTTGATTGTATTGGTGGTATTACTGGTGGCACGTACATACCTGTGGATGTTGGCAGTATTGTTGGCATGTACGTGTTCACGACGGCATGCGGCTGGGCAGATCATGATGATTTTTGTTCGCTTTCCCCGCCTGCAGGGCTCAAAACTGTCACGCTGGGCCGACCCAGACCACTTCGCTCAGCGGCAGAGCTGCATGAATGCGTTCGCCACGTGGTTCGGCACCATGCCGCTGCAGCACACACAGAGCCGCATGGACCCACTGCTCTTCAAGGATCAGGTGTCTATCCTGCGCAAGAAATACCGTGACGTCGAGCGCCTCTGAGCCCCCCTCACCACCACCTCCAGGCTCTCTCGCTGGCTCGGTCTCGCTTACCGGCTGGCCCCGAGGATAGCTCGCGGGTGCACAGAGTCTCGTTCACTGGCTGGCTCAGTGGAAGGCTCGCTGGCTAGCTCCGCTAGCTGGCTCGGTGGCATGTCGTCTCTCACATGCTGGCTGGCTCAGTGGCTCGTTGCTTGGGCTCGGTGGTTATTCCGCGCGCCCGTTGGGCCCTTGTGGTGCGGAGTCTCCGTATCGGAGAAGCCGCTCCTGATCCGAGGAGGAACGGGAGGTTGGAAGCCGCAGACTATAGACAAAAAGGACTATGGCTGACCTCCCAACATAACTAAGCGAGCCCATCGACCAATCATGTGATCGCACACACACACCCGTCGACCAATCACGTGTTTGCTTCGATGGACCGAAGGAAGAGAATCGAACGGTTGTGTTTTTTTTTTACAAAAAAATGCCAAACTATAAACAAGCCTGAGTGGAAGTGAGCGTGCTGACTTACTTGACGCTGAACTCTTGAGGTACACAAATCAGTACAAAAATAATAGTTTTTACTATGACAGTTTGTTTTCTTATTTACGTTTTTATTTTACAAAAAACTGACAAGACGAAAATGCAAAAAAAAATTAAATGGTACCTTGAAGAGGGAAAAGCACGGTCGTATAATTTTTTTTAAACTTAACGTGAAAAAAATCACTTTAACACTAGAATTTCACTTTTTTGACAAAGTCAAGAAATAATGAAACACACCTGTGCTGTTTGAAGTCCAGTGACGAAAGTTGGGGTCACTTTCAGAGAGCTGCGCTGCTAGCTTCATTATTTAATTACAGTTTATTTGCCCGTTCATCTCATGCATTCCTTACAATACAATTTACAGGTATCTTGCAAAAACAAAAATTCCTGTCTGTTGAAACAAATGTGTGCAGGCCGAGGTAATAATCAAAGCATATATGATCTCCATTTGTTTTTACCAACTTAGGTTGCATTGCATCATGGGAGACGTGAAATAATGTTTGTGGTGCACACCGGAAATACGGTGTGGCCTCTAAATATAATCATGTTCATGTCGGTATGTGTTGTTTAATAATAATTGTATAAACTGAGCCACTGGCTTGGCCAGGCCAGTTTTATAAATCTTTTTTTTTGTTATTACGATGCTGGCAAAACGATGTCGATTTTAGACTGTTTAGCAGATGACTGGCTTGTAATCATGTCCTGCATGGCTTCTTCATACTCTTGATATGATGCCAGTCTTTTTAAGTTATCGGTACTGCTCATTTACATATTTAATTTCGTTTTTACTCTTGTAGTTGTTACAATTGTAAAGAAATTTGTGATTTACATTCGTTTCGATACAACAGTTCCGGCCGTTTAGTTATAATTTTATTTTTGTTCTATTACTACATTTGTATTCGTTATTTTGGAAATAAGTTATTGATAATTTTGTTTTTAATTTTAATACCATTACGGTTATTTTAGGCACCATGAATCTGAAAAATGACATTTTTTAATATAAATATTGAAGATGTCATTGCCATTATTATTATTATGGCCTCAGGCCGAAGTAAATAATTTGCCTTGAGTGGAGGTCTTTCATTCAGGACTTACCGTCCTTGATCAGAGAACTAGACAAGTTTGAGAAACATGGTGTTTAAATCGAGTGTCAATTCTTCAGTGACAACTGTTAAAATCACAACAGACACAAATCATGGAGCATTTGTGCATCGACCATGATTTGAAATGCAATGTTTAACATTGATTTTTTTATATCCATGATTTCACTTTCAACCACTGTCACTTTCAATAGCACAGCTTTCTAGCTAGTTGTCTGCAAAACTTAAAGGGTTAAATCACAACGGTGTTGATGATCATCACCGGATTCGCTCAATTGCCGTCCACACTTTCCCTGAAGCGAGCAGCCCATCGCTGCTTGTTGGCATCAATATGGGAAGGCTTCCGTCCACCAGCGGGTTGAGAATAGACGGCACCGTTCGTGGAGATGACACTTGAGTGCAGTGGAGGTTTAATACAGGTAGGAACAACAGTTCCACACTGCCCACCAGGGATTATTTGTCTATCTGTCGTGCATAGCCACGCCCTCGATTTGTATTTCATAGAGCGCTTCGGGCGGGCTCAGCACCACGTGACGCGTCGCCCCACGCAGCTTGCGCCGCGTGACACGGATCGCACGAATGCGCTGTCCAACCAAGTTCCTACCTGCCCACTCCGAAGGAACGTGTTATCTTGCCTTTCGGCCACACGGCTGGTAGGGTTAGATATGTGACCACATGACTGCCCAAAATTACAACCTTATTGGCCCACTAGTTATTTGAGCATTTTGGTGTCTGGCTTGTCTCTCTCGTTGAGTAGACTTGTCTGGTGGTTCACATTGTCTGGTTGGTTGACCAAATAGTCGGCTAGCTGGCTGTCTGGTGGATAATAACTGATTGACCCTCGTTGACTAGTGGGATAAATTAGTTATATGGTTGGCTGTCTAAAAGGTGGTCCTGTCAGATCAGCCAACATATGAGTGGCTTTATTGGCTATTTCAATGATCTAAAAGCTTTATTGGAGATCCATCTGCGTAACTGTCTTCTTGAATCGTTTGACAGTTGGCCCACTGGTTGGCTAGGTGGTTGACTGGTCAAACGACTTTACTGGATGCATTTTGGATCAAGTAAAAGCAAATCTGAAAAAGGATATCATAAAGGAGACACTAGCGAGGCAGCGTTCGTACGCCATAAAACCGTTTTTATTTCGTTCTGGGTTATTTTTATTTTTTTTACGGTCCATCATTGCAGAGAGCAGCTTGCTTTATAGGTTCCAGAGTGAATTGAAACTCAGAAAATGGACTGGTCTTACCCAGCTTGTCGGTTCTATGCAAGCATGAAGGTTGCGCCCTCTCGTGAAGACAGTGCTTCAAGCTCTCCAGTCTCAACGCTGCATGATGTGAAATGCGCACAAAAAAAAACGAATGGGGGAAACATTGCTCGTTGAACAAAAACCAACAGTGGTGACGTTGTGTGCATTGCTGAAGGAGGAGTGATACGTTGGCGACTGTAAAAATCATGTTTGCTGGAAAATAAACAAATTGAAGCAAAATTTGAAAGGAAAATATGTATACACACACACATTGTACATTGTAAATACCGCATTATGTATACTGTATAGTGTATGCTGTATTTGTGTATATAGTGTGTATATATGACACGTAGTGTGTGTACACATATACAAAAGCATAAAGCGCTGCTTCACAAAGTGAAAGGCAGTACCATACCACACATACTGTATGGCAATTAGACATCTTACAATGTATTTTAAACATGCACAGTGTGTATGTACGTTCCGTTGATGCAGACGTTCCGCAAGGTGTCTGTAAATAGATGATTGCATTTGAAGGTAACCCAGTGTACGGATCGTGGGAATATTATAGACAAAATGCAAATATGACACGAGTACAATTACCGCGCCTACATTGACGGGCACACTTGCACACATAAACACCGCCGCGGATAACGGAATTCAGGGACAGGTGGTGAAAACGCCTTAAAATAAAGCTGGTCGGGCAAAGTTCTTTCCAGAGAGGACCTTTAAACGACAGAACACTTTGAAAATACGGACAAAAGCCAACGGTTATGGAAGTGAAATTAAAGAGCACAGAAGATGCTTCCGTCTTGGATCCAGTTGGCTTTGTCATCAACGTTATCGTTATCCTCGTAATCTTCATTATTGTCTTGTCATTAAATATGTTTGTCCTACACTTGCATTGAAGCGCACCCCCGCGATGTTTCGCCTGTTCCGCCTGTTCCCAAGAGGTTTTCACGAGATCCTGCCACTTTTCCGTGGCAATTCAAATATTCGCGTATGTCGGTTGGTCTGGAATAAGAAGTGAGTTGATTCTGATTTACATACTTGGGAATACAGTTTGTGGAGTAGAAGTCATCGGACACTGCCAGCCTCACACCAACAACACGGCTCCAACGATCCTTCCGCTTTATAACTATTGACTTATTAGGGTGCCTTTGTTATCTCCGTGTCGGGCAATTTAACTCGGCCAGAGCAGTCGGTACAATATTAAGCGTACACACATTGTTTATTACCACGAATGTGTCACGGCTGTAGTTAACATTTAGTTGCAGTTGTAATGCCGAATATTGATATCGTCTCAAATTAAACTCGCTCTAAATAGAGAAACCCGGAGACGCTGCCCTCACTCAGTCTCAACAGTCCATGAGACGCAGTGCTCGTCTCGTATAATTAGATATCATTTCCAAGTTACCAGGAGACCTAGTTGGTCTCAGTTCGAGATGAGAACACTAACTGGTATGGTCTTGGACCCAGACTACCAGGGTCCCTTGCAAAAGGCACACTGACCCATCATCGGACTTGCGTGGTTTAAATAAAGAACCCAACTTGACTTTAAAGCCACCCGAGGAAGTTGGTCATAGTGGCACCAGGGCTTTGTGCTCTTGCACGATTGATCAGATTTCCTTTGGTGGACAGGTGAATTGACCATCGCACATTTAAGTGAGACCTAGGGTTGTCGGTGGCCCTGTGCTGTGATGCGCGCCATTGTGGATTTCCCCGTCCACGTTCTGGTTTATTAACGGGACCCACTAGGTCCCCGAAGAGGGATTTATTCCATGATATTATGATCATCACTTGTTACGCTGGGTTCGCTGCAGGCTTCACAGGTGGTTGGGGGGGGCTTCACCTAGGTCACAGTAGCCTTAAATAAGCACCTTGTATGTGTGTGTGTGTCTTTGTGTGTATCCGTTGAATGGGGGCCAGTCCAAATGTGTTGAAAGCTAAACTGTCATCCGTGCCCCTTTCATAGCCAATCAACTATTTCAAATTATTTGGTGTTCCTGCGTTTGGCAGTGTTGCACAAGCACAAATAACAAAAGCGCTCGATACATTCGTCAATAACAGAGTGGCCTTAAAAGAAAAACATAATAATAGGTGGCATTTCAGGCAATGGCCCTTCATAGCACATCATTTTTTTTAAAGGCCACTGTTATTGACGAATGTGAGTGTTATTTGAGTGAAAGTGTATGGGAGCAGACTTTATTGGTGTATACTGTATCAGTGCTCCTCATTACCCAAATAGAGTATGTATTTAGCACAAGTCACGTTTGTAAAACATGCATAACAATTGAAGTCAAACCATAAATACAAAAAGGACCAACCAGAAAATTAAGCAAGCTGGAAATGAAAATTAAATGCATATGCATGTCCTTTGCCTTGCAGTATTTAAGTAGCACACTGTTCGCTAGCCGGGCAAAGTCATTTGCATATTTGCAAATGCTTGTTATTTTTTCTCTGGTTTGAGTATTCCAAGTTTTGAGCAACGGGTTGATCAATTTTGGTAAATCGCTCATAGCAACACAACTTTATACCACAATGTGGTTCGTATTGGATCATGTGTACAAGAATTATAGTGCTTCCCTTTTTTTTTATTACAGGACGTATGGAGCTAATGCATAAATGATTTCAACCCGAGTTGGAAAGCGTTAAACATATAAAATATCAGTCTCACTCCCACTCCTGCCACACTGCCCCCAAAACAAATGAATGAAAAATACATGACCGTATTTTTTTTATCGGTTACAAAAATCGAATATAAATCAATTCTAGTCACATGACGCGCTCGAGATACTCACCTAACTCAGAGCGATGCAGAGGATCAAACAAACGAGAAAAATGCAAATTTCTCACTTCATCTTGAATAAAAACAACCACACTTATCGTGGTTTGCACACATTGTGTGGGAATTAACTGCGTACGTCCTAAGTTGCTTTTATCGTTCGTATTTGTTTCTTGCTCTGTTCTGTACATTTGACAAAAACCATCCCTAAAAAAACTGACGTTTAAGTCTGCCACGACTCCAGAATATTTATATTTTTTATTTCCCCCTTCCCCCGCCTCCCAGCTGTGGATTTTGTTGTCTTAACGACCCACTTATTGTGTATAATAATGTTGAACCTTTAATAAAGTTTCAATGTTTAAAAGTTCACTATTTCTAGACTATTCGCCATTATTTAAAACCGTAATTTTTTCAAACTACCAATACACACAAACCAGGTTTGTACAGCACTTTACATGAATATCTTCATTTGTTTTAAAGTAAAAAATATATTTTTTTACATACGAATTCCTCACCGAGTCTTTTTGACTTTTTTTCAGTAGAGGACCGCTTGAATTTGGATCCTATCATTTGAATGTATTTTCGGTATTTGTGGGAGGCAATGCCTGGATAAACCCCACGCATAGGGGAGTGTAACACTCAATATTCTCAATATTTTTTTTTTACATTTAAAACATTTAACCCAATTTTATCCCACTTGTACAATATACGTCATCTCACGGAACAAAGTATCCGTTCGGATCTCTCACAGAGCAGTGAACCCCTTCGTGTCGGAGAATGGCCCATGGAAGGTAGGAGGGCAGCACTTTTCCTCCTCGCTATGCCACTGAGAGTAATGTTTGTCATATGGCAAACCAATATTTTGCATTTTCAGAGTCGGACTTTAAACAAATGTTACGCATTCTTTGGTGACCGGTCTGACACCGTGAACTCACTACACTTGAAAATCTGGTTTTATCAGAGGTGACTGCCTGGATTTAAACCCAGGATCTTAGCGGAAGCTCGCTCAGCGCTCTGACCTCTGATCCACACTGTTACCTCTCAATTACCATTTTCAAACAATCGGCTCTTTGTGAATCCCACAGGGAAACCAACCTCAAATACCTACGTGAGACACCAGCGATAGTGGTGTAGTCCTGGCCAACTTCAGTTGCAGACAGAATATGCAAGACTTGTATCCTCATGACAACTAACACATTAATAAAAAATAAAACTAAAGCATTGTAATAGCTTAATAGGCTTACATCAGGGCTGGCGCAATTTGTAGAGATATACTTCTTTTAGAACAATATTTCCAGCCCTTTTATCAGTCCACGTCTGGATTCAGACCTCCACACCATATCGGTCATGCAGGTCATTTGACCATACTTCACGAAGCTAGCGAGAGAGGCAATGGGCATGGCTTAATAATGACCTCTGCACCAGTGCCAGACTTACCTCAATGCACTTATGTGATAACCTTTGATTTTCCTGTTAAATGGAGCTGATGGATACACTGTTATTTTTAATGTTTTTGTTTTATGCTCTTGATTGGGAAACTTGATATTCTTCGAACACACCAGTGTAATCATCAACCGCACTAGTACATCTTACAGGCCGATCTCGACATTTGTAGTGAGTTCAACTGAGTCGCAGACGTACTCTTTGGAGGCAACACATTTATTAACACCAACACACGGGGTAACTGCCCCTTAACAGAATAACAACCTATGGTGGTGACCACCAGACAGAGGTCGCAAACGGGTTTTGATTCCTTACCCATACCCGTACCCGGCCGCATCAGGGTCGCAAATGGGTACCCGTACCTGGCCGGGTACGGGTAACCGTTCCCTACCCATACCCATACCCTACCCGAAATGAGTGACAAACGGCTACTCACCAGTGACTCACGGCCTACCCGTACCCATACCCGGCCGCACCAGGGTCGCAAACGGCTACCCGTACCCGGCCGGGTACGGGTAGCCGGGTATCGGGTAGGGTACGGGTATCGGGTACCTGGTTGCGACCTTTGCCACCAGGCTAACTATGCTAATCACACCGTAACTAGCTACAATGGACGGGACCACAGCTTGGGTCCCGGTCCACATGTTGGAGACTCTGTAGGATGTAGAACGTAGACGAAGGTTTCGTCAGGATGAACAACAGCGCCGTTCCCTCTGGGGGACCCGGCTTATATCCTCTGTGGCGTGGCTGGCTCTGCCCTTGGCCACACCCACCTTCCAAAATCCTTGAGCAGGATCTCGACCCTGGCCACGTGACCACCCCTAGCCCCCACTTGGGGCCCCTGTGTAGACTTAACCGGTCACGTGTCCTCTGGGGTCAACCAGAGTGCCACGGCCTATAGTAACCCCATGTCCATGGCCGGCACTCCCACACCCTATCCTGTAGGGGCCGGCACTGCACGCCGATCGTAGTGCCATCCAGCGCTATCGATCAGCGCTCACCAAGCCCCTCTAGGGCCGGTACTGCACCCACATCCAAGTGGTGTCCGTGATGTCGCCACATCGCACGCCGTGCCTCTCTAGGGCCGATACCACACAGTGACATCCCGCGATGTCACTACACATCTACATGAATAGACCATTCCAGATAAGCCAGTTGTGTAACTGTTGTGCAACTGTGGCCATACAAAGCAGACTGGATCATATCGTAAAACCAGAGACGCGCAGAGATAGGAGACCCATATAAATACTTAGAGACTCATAGAGATAAACATAGATACCCATAGGGAAACAGAGATTAATTACAGACAAGCCACAGTGCGATTGCGACCATGTAACCCAAACTATGGACCGTATCATAAACCATTGTAGTCTGCGCTCCTTCAACCGAAGGAACAGCAAAACTACACGAACTCTCTCCTGAATCCCTCTAATTGTGGCTAGCAGACTTCCACGTTGGCATTAGCTTCTGACCATATTGCTGCCATATGCAACACATAGAATTGGGAAACTTTGATTTCAATTCTAAACTGGTCATAACGTGTAGCATTGCCTCAGGGCCCCACGGTGTAAAAAAAATCAGTGGTTTAATACCTGTACAAATGAAATTTTCTTCAGTTCAACTCTACTCTAAAGGAGGGTGGGTCACTGCCCCCGAAACGTCACTTTATCAATATTAATTTCGGATGAAAACCTCTGAGCAAAGTGTGGCGAGTTTGTGCTTGTGCACTACACTGCTAAGGCGATGCCTCAACCCTTTTTATATTACATAAAGCACTACGCGTGTAGATTATTTTATTCGTACCCTCAGGAAAACGATATCATGTACAATACCGCCATCTTACTAGGGGCACACGTCATAATGTGAAGGGGTGTGACGTCATCGGATATGAATTCCCCCCCTCCTACCACTTGCCCTTCCAGCTCAGAATCAGAAACGATTTATTTAAAGTATGAAATTTTTTATAATCGGCTTTATCCTTTCTGGCAATAAAACGAGTCTTAAGATGTTCAAACACCAAATGGAAACCTTTTGCAAGGAATCATATCTGCATTTAATCACACACAGTCCTTGTGGTGAACATGCAAACTGAACGTGCTCTGACAATCTCTGGTCATCGTCTTTGAAACTGATTGGCCTACACCACAGCAGCCTTCTTTAGAGGCCAGTCTTACCAGTGTCATAACAGAGAACAACGCCAAAAGGCGAACAGTTTATTTATTTAAACTGGAGAAATCCGATGAGCTATAAAGCTCTTTTTCACAGAATATTCAGCAGGGGCGGGTTCAGACCGTTACAACAAACAATATTCTTTGGTTTTTTCGGTAAGTCACGTAGATAAAGAATTAAAATAAGTTAAATCACGACGTTTCGGGCGCAACACAAGCGTCCTTCTTAAGGTGGGGACAACTTAACGAAAGCACTTCAAATCTAGAACAAACAATAGGAGTACAAAATAGTACGGGAAAGGTGAGCAAATCACAAACTATAAATATACACAAATAAAATGTTACTATTTTTGTTTATTTTACCAGGTAAAGCCCACTGAGCGATTAACTTCTTTTTCAGAAGCGACCTGGCTCTTACAAATGATTGCTCAACGTAGTGGCGTATTACGTGGAAATTTATAGCATCCAAATAATCTAAAGAATCTATTCGGCCCAGGAATGTATCACGAAGTCGTTAGGCTAATGAAGGCTCTCGTTGACCTCACTACAAAAGGGTGATCCAAAATTCAGCGTGCCAGCAACAATTGATAATTTTAATACTAATTAGTTTATTTACTAATGCCTTTTGGTCATTGAAGGGATTGTCTGTTAAGTGATAGCTACGAAGAGTGTAACTTTATATGCCAATTAAAACATTGTTCATGAAGAAATATTGTTTGAATACTCATAAGATGTAATATGCAACTTTGAATGAATTCACTCGAAACACAACACGTCAACCACACAGCCTTAAAAAATATATAGAATCTGCGACGCCTTGGACAATGGCCCCCTTTTTTAATCAGAGCAGAAGGGACATTGTCCGAAACGTCGCCGATTATATATATTTTTTCTTTCAGGAAGTTGTCGATGGCAGTTGTGCCGTTTTTGTTGTGTTTGTGGCACTACTGCCATCGCAGCAGCAGCAGCATCACCACCAAATAATGTCTCCAAATCACGTATAATCTTTCTGGTATATGTATTATGAAGGAGGCCCATTGCCCGAAACGTCGCCTGTTTAACGTTTCCTTTTAAGGGCACACTGTGAATGACGAACGTGTTGATGATTGTGTGTTTGTTGTTTGCCACCAGCTATATTGCCGTGGCACAACCTGTCAACCCACACTGTTTACCCAAATTCTTGTACAGGGAAATTGAGTATTAAATAAGTTTAACCCGTAAAAACAAAGTTTTTCACTATAAATCCTTTATATGCGTGGCGGCTAGAGTCCTCTCGTCCTCTGGCTTGAGATGGCTGCCACCTATGGGTCAGATGATTGTCTGCCAGTATTAAGCAATTGGTAATTAAATATTTAATTTGTTTTCCCTAAACAGTGTAAAATTTTGGAAAAAAATTTTCACTAACATTAATTGTCTCGCACAACGAGTCTGTGTGCAAAATGTCAGCTCGATTGGATCACGGGAAGTGGGTTAAAAAACGACCGAAAGATTTGCACGGTCGTAAGCAAGCAAGCAAGCACGCAAGCACGCAAGCAAACTTAATATAAAGGATTTAAAAAGTGTCTATTTCGTTGTGTTTCTGCCCTGTGATGGGACTTTGTCGGATGAACTTTGAGATTCATCAGGGGCACGGGGTGGTCAATAAGGCAATGTTCGTCCCAGGAGATGACCAAGAAACGACTCCACGGCGACTCGCAGCGACATCGAAAACCCCTTTAGCAGACCACAAAGTATGAGAGGGACGCAATGCCCGATCCACACAATGCGAATTGTGACATCGTCTGGCTTAGACCACCTGAACGTAGCCATTGCAGTTGTTGCTCTGCGCATATTACGCACAAACGCAATCAGACGTACGAAGCAAATAAGGACAAGATTGACTGATTGTTTAAAGACTGACTAATTGATTGTTAAACTGATTGATTGTTAAACTGATTGATTGAAGCCCTTAAAGAGGGGATAAGTCCCCCCCCCCGCCTCGGGGTTACCCAACCCAACCCAAGATTCATATTCTTAGGTTTTTTCGGTAAAGTCACGTAGGTAAAAAATAAAAATTAATAAAAGTTAAATAAAAAAAATCGGTGATTTTTATTTTTCTTTTATTATTTTTTTTATTTTTTACCTACGTGATTTTTATTTCATTTTTATTTTACTTTTATTAATTTTTATTTTTTACCTACGTGACTTTACCGAAAAAACCTAAGAATATGAATCCTTGCAGTCACTAAAGCTTCAAATCGAGAACCAACCCAAGATGGGCGCCGGAAAGGCGTCAGATTTTAAAAAGGCGGGGCCTCGAGAGGGGGCGTGGCCTCGAGGGAGGGCGTGGCCTCGAGGGAAGGCGTGGCCTCGAGAGGGGGCGTGGCCTCGAGGGAAGGCGTGGCCTCGAGAGGGTGTGGCTTCGAGGGAAGGCGTGGCCTCAGGAGGGGGCGGGCCCTTAAGAGGGGCGTGTCTTCGACGGGGAGTGGTGGCTTCCATTTACGGTGGCAAAACGAAGGCGAGAAGGTGTCGAACTCTTGAGGCGGGAAAACGAATTTCAAACGTAATATATTTTCTCGTAAATTTCGACGGATTTTAACTTGGTCTGCGTGGTTACACGGTAGGCATCACGTGGCGATGTTTTTTTTCTGTTTCTGCTCGCGGTTTTCGTATTTTGTGCGGTGGCGCGCTTTTGCTGTTGCCACCAGCGATGTGACCGTGGCGTACCTGATAACCCACACTGTTTACCCGCATTATTGTACAGGGAAATTGAGTAGACATGTGTTCGTGTTTCTCCCTTGTTACGGGACTTTGTAGGATAAACGTTGAGATGTATAAGGGGCACGGGGTTGACCAATGAGGTCTGAATTGGTCTGTGATGAGATACTGACTCGGGGTTGACGGCTATGACGAGTGGGTACAGCTTACGGCTGGGTTCGTCCCGGGGCTGATCGAGAAGCGACTCGCAGCGCCATCGAAAACCCCCTTTAGCAGACCACAAAGTACGAGGGACGTGCAATGTTCGATCCACACAATGCGAATTGTGACATCGTCACGGCGAGACACCGTTGTAGTTGTTTACTCTGCGCATATCAGATGTACGAAATAAATGAGAAGATTGGCTGATCTCAGATTAATTGATCGATTTTTAAACTGATAGATTTTTGAACTGATATATTATTTTTACCTGATTGATTGCTTTTTTTAACTGATTGTTTTACTTGATTGTTTGAAACCGTTGCCGCCAGAATGGCGTCGGTTGGAAAAAAATGCGGGAACTGCGCGAGGAGGAGGGGAGGGGCCGACCTACCCAATATGGCGTCGGTTAAAAAGTGCGGGAACTGCGCGAGGGGGGCGGGGGCTGCCCTACCAAATATGGCGTCGGTTAAAAAGTGCGGGAACTGCGGGGGCGGGGGGGCTGCCATACCCAATATGGCGTCGGTTAAAAAGTGCGGGAACTGCGCGAGGGGGGCGGGGGCTGCCCTACCCAATATGGCGTCGGTTAAAAAGTGCGGGAACTGGGCGAGAGGGGAAAGGGGCTCTCCTTACCCAATATGGCCGCCGGAATGGCGTCGGGTTAAAAAAAAACGGCTATTTCCCCCTCGGGGCTACCCTACCCAATATGGCCGCCAAAATGGCGTCGGGTTAAAAAATTTGCGGGAACTGCGCGAGAAAGGGGCGGGGGGCGCTGCCATTGACGGAGGGGAAAACGAATGCGGAGGTGGTGAAACATTTCAAATCGTAATATTTTTTGTTTTTATTGCGGCTACCGACATACTTCGTTTGCGCGGTTACACGACAGGCACGCGAGACGATGTTTTAAATTTCCTTCTGACCGCGGTTTTTGCATCTTGCGCGGCGTTCGCGGCGGCGTCGTCGCTTGCCGCGCTTTTGTTTTTGTCGCCTCGGCCGCCATTTTATCGAGAGCGGCTCTGTGGAAGCAGTCAACTTATTGGCAGCGGCTGTTCTTTGTTGTTCGGTGAACGCGTGCGCGTAAGATGTGTCGACTTTTTTTTGCTCAACGCCTCGGGGATAACTTACTCTCGCCACTGTTGCGATTCGTTTATTTTTCCGATGTGCCGTGTTTGTTCAGTTGCGTCCTCTCGTGTCGCTTGTAACCGATTGGTTATCTGCGAGGGAACGTTAAGGGGGGGGGGGGTGGTGGGCTTGCTGCAGCTTTAAACTGTTTCATTGTATTTATTTTACATATTACAAATGCTGACAAATTATAATCGATAAATAACGACGCCTAACGTATTTCGGGACAATTTTGTAATTAAATGCTCGAGCAATTTACAACTTTTATTGCGCTACAGTTGAGGCCTGCTGCTATGATAAAAACCATTGCAATTATTATTTGCATGGCGTAATAAGTTACCTGAGTACGTTCAATGTTTTTAAATGTATATTTTTTTCATTAAAATACAGAATGCTTCACGTTTTTGGTTAATGAAATGTATTGGATATTACAAAAAAATCACATTACATTTACCTTAGTTTAATTCAAGTGTATACATTATAAAATTATATATTAGTAAAGTTTTTTTTTTTAAACTACATTGCATATTGAAACATTACATTAGCTATCGTACAGTATATTTGCTTGTAACAGTGCCATGACATTACTGGCCACTAGGGTGGTAACGATGTATCGATTATATCGCGTTTTTAGTTCACCATGTATGAAGAAAATAGACAATGTCACCATATTTGCATTACTGTATATTGAAATATATTTTTAATATACAACCCATCGGGCCCCACGGCCTTATGTGATTGCTTAAATTCAGCATTTCAGTCTAAAGCAAATCTGGACCGGTTTCAATATTCAGTGTCTCACCAGTACAGGCTTGATTGAATTGATGCGGGTGAACTGGCAAATGTTTATAAGCCAGGACTTTATGTTGAAGATATGGGTCCTGGTGTCGATATAACAAGCATGAGTGTCAAAAATATTATGGATGAGATTCAGAAATATAAAGTCAAATTAAAACTTTCGTGACTGCAGGAATTCATAGTCTTGGTTCTTTCGGTAAAGTCACGTAGATAGACTAAAAAATTAGAAATACATTGAAAATAAAAACAAAAACCACGACCTTTCGATCGCAACACAATTGGTCTTCAAGAGGCGGAGAGAAAAGAGGTTATTTTATTTTTTAAAGAGATTAGCAAACACGTAGTTTATTGGTAATATAGCGTTTTTGCATGGGGAAACGTTGGGAATTGTAAGTACTAGTTCAAGAATCTCCCAACAGATTTCAAAATGTGGCTTCTCGGCAGTGACACTGCCACGACCATCTTTTGATAGTGTTACAGGACGGATTCCTCAATTCTAAATACAGTTTATGATTCTAATCAACGAATTAGTCTAATTATATCAATAAAGTAGTCACATTAATTCTGAAAGCAAATTTGTTGGTGAGTATGTAAACATGTATACAAATGCATCCGCGTGAATTTGTACTCATGCCAACACGGTTATGTGTTTTCCCACAAGCTTGTATATTGATGCCTGGCTTCTGTGTGTGTGTGCGCGCGTGTGTGTGAACTACGAACAGGAACCGTATCATGTCCCTTGTCCAGGTGGCAACTCGCTCTCCGAGCAAGTCAACCGTACCTTCACAGGACCAGTCTCCATCTGCACGCAAAGGCGGGCGCATGCGTTCTAAGCTTCACGATGTAGATGTCTCTGCGAGGACAGAAGAAGCAACAGGTGCCACATTTAATTTATCCAGCTTATAAGTGTGGTGGGGGAGGGCAGAGGGTATTGCATAAAAAAAATCCACAGTACTTCTACGCATCCCTGCAATACACAGTAATCCGGAATTCGCCCAATTTCAGAAGATTAGCAGGATAAGCCTGGATAGTGTTTAGGTGGGGGATCACCATGCATATAACACCTCGTTATAGGCTTCTGCATAAGGCTACCATGAAGGCAGTGCGGAAAACATTGCAGAACACCATCCGCTATTATGTCTGTGCTCCCCTCCACCAACTCGCACTGACTGAGATGAAGTTCATTCAAGGTTGTCCATTGTGTCCGATGATGACCTTCCTCCTCTGCCTCTATTTATGGGATTTTGTATGACTGTAAAGTCCAATACTCGACCCACAGTGTCTGCTGCGGATAGAGCAGGTGAAGTCGCTGATTGCACACAGTGTTGGTGTACGGTGTTTTTTTCTGCAATATTTTGCTGTCTTTTCTTGGATTTTCTGTTTGCACTTAGTCACATACAGTATTCACTTTAAGATGTTTTTTGTTCATGTTTTTGTTTGTTGCGGTTGCACCCGATTCAAGAGCCGAACGGCTCACAGGGCTATACCTAATAAATGAACTTGAAGGTATGAGTCTGGCTTCATGACTCTTAAGAAGCTTCCTTTTCCTTAGCTCACTTCAGTCCTCTGAGCTTCGACACTTCTTGCTGGAAGAGCTGGCACCAGATGCAGCGTTCTGCGTCAGTCCTTCAGCTGGGTAGGGTTCAGGCAGCCTTCAGTTGGTCCTTGTTAGTGCCTTTTTTGGCCCCCTTTAGAGTGGTGGTCTAAGTCCAGCTGGCAATACAGGACCTTACATGGAAGACGTTCCTTTTGCATCCTGATGACGTGACCGAGAGAGTGAAAAGTGGATCGTTATTTGTCTGGAACCTCCCCTCCAGACCTGTTTGCCAAAGGAGACTCTACCAGGAGTACAAGACTTGAGGCGGCATAGCTCTGAGGGTTATTTGAACACAAACCCCACCACCACGATATGGTTACAATCCTGGGGTGGGGAAGTACAGGTATTGTCAAATAACCGCCAAGACCAACGCAGCACAGAGAGTGAATTGACAAAAGGGCTATATATGTACAAGTGTGTATCCTTTATAGTGCAGTCATCTTGATTTCAGAATGTTGAGACTTCAGTCAACGATTTTAGACGATCACCATAGCTACCACCGATGTCTCAAATGCATCTTCCTTGCACAGCCTGGAAACTATATTGAGGGGTCAAATGAAGGTAATATCAAATTAATTTTAAAAAATTGCACTATCGTTTTTGAAAAGACTACATGCCCTGTTACACTTGAAAATGTGCCTTAAGCTTAAGATTTGATCCCATTATTTTAGTGGTGCTGGTACATTGTGCTGACATCTAGAGCAGCCATTTAAATCAAATCCTTGGCTAGATTATTGCACAGTTAAGGTGTACATTTTATTTACTATTTGCTATGTTTCAGTTGTTAGTGAAAATAAGGGAATTGTCAAATTAACACTACAATTGAAGATGACAAATGGTACCAGCACAATGGCAATACATTACCTTACATTCTCTTTTATCCATGCAATTGCTACTGACCAGATGTTACATAAAGTAAGCACTGTGATGAGGCTATAATGTATTTTTATCTCTCCAGAAAATATGGAGACACCAGCTATTGTAACCAAGAAGAAAGGGCGACCAAGGAAGGATCGGTCTCTGTCCCCGCAGCCTAAGGTGAGGCCCAGGGTCTTTGAGCCTCCAGCCCCAAAGGACACATTTTCTTCAGGAAGAAGGAGCAGCAGCTGTTTTGGCCAGCAGCTTCCAGTGTGTTGCAATGGGCTGTCATTTGGTTTAACAAAGTAAGTTTAATCTTTGGGTTGATGAAAAGGTAATAGAATTCCACCGGTCACTACCACCTATCGACAAAAACAGTGTTGCATGCTCGGGCGTGCATGTATGTGTGGGAATACAGGTATCCAGGGTGGTGAACGCAATGGCGCACGTGTGCACCCAGTGCAGCGCCACCTTCGCCGACAAGGATCAACTGAAAGAGCACTTGGAGAGCCACGCAGACGAGAGGTTGGTCATGTCCCCCACAGACGTCTATACCTCTCATAGTACTAGAGGCCTACATTCTGTCTGGGTTACACTGGTGTTAACCTTATATATTGAGTTTTTTTTTACTTTTTATATGATATCCTGATATTTAATAGTGTTCTGTAACTATAGTTTTGTTTACATGAACATCTTAACAAAAGCAGAATACTGGGTCTTGACTTAAAGCTTTCGTGACTGCCGATCGTTGCCGATCATTGCTACAACTCTGTGGGCTCTCTTGAAATTGTCTTTTCCGAGACCAAGGTGCTCTGCAAACCTCCTGGCTACCATCAAAGGTTTGTACACGAAGCCATGCAAATATACAAACACAGACATAATTTCAACCGTGATGATGGTTACAAACTGAATAATCATTGGAAATATGTGATTAACCATGCAAAAAAGATTTAACTACACTTATTTGGACCATCTTATTTGACAGACAACTATTACAGGTTATTGATAGACAGCCAGTTTTGTTTTACCAGGTTTAGTTTTTTCTTTTTTTCACACTTTTGTTATGTAGGCTAGTCGTAGTCACAAACCGCACCTCTCCATAACAAAGGCTCAGTCTTTTGTTATGCAGTCTATTCTTAGTCTTAAGCCTCACCTTACCATATTAATAAAAAGTGTGCTGTACTTGGCCCTTCCCCTCTTCAACCATTATATATACGGAGTGGTAGCTCTTGTAATCTCTCATTTACTTGATACAGCTATCGTGGCTGTGACGGTTCCACCTGAAGACGGAAGCTTATTTTGCCTCCTAAACGTCGTGATTTTTATTTTATTTTACTTTTATTAATTAAAATTTTTACCTACGTGACTTTACCGAAAAAACCTACGAATATGAATCCTTGCAGTCACGAAAGCTTCAAATCTAGAATTTTAACACCTGTTTTGTTGCCAGAACAAAGGGGAAAACCCCTATTATCATATTTTGGTACTGGCAAAGGAGGTCCCATGATATCCTTTCTAAGTTGACGTGTTTCAATTTGCGCTAGTAAATAACTACTAATGGAATATTCTGCATTTTATTAGCATGTCTTTACCTATAACTTGATAAGATATTCTAAAAACAAGAAGGTATTGTTATTCTGTGTGTACCTTGAGAAGATTATGGCCGATGCAATTGCTCTTCTCTACCCTTCTGTAGTGAGCAGGCCCCCACCCTGGGATTGCTGAAGAAAGAGCCCAACAGGAATGGTGGGAGTCCGACGAAGGGCTGCAGGGGCCGGTCTAAGGGTCGCAAAGGCGCCATCCGCAAGCCAGCCAGCTTTCTCTCCCTCAAGGAAACCATGGCACACGACACATTGGGTACTGTCGCCGACGGTTAGGCTGCACTTTCAATTGGGCCAGCATTAGAAATTACGTAATTAATAAAGCCGCATAGCAATGTTGCCCCCTACTATGAAAATACAGCAGACCACAATCATCTATAACACATTGCACCTTCATGATAGCCTTGTGCTTTAAGAATAGTGTGAATACCAAATATGCTTATGCTTTGACCTGATCTGAGATTTCATTAATAAGGGGTAAGCCGGAACACTGAGCCCACACCGCTGAGATCCCAGATTGATCTTGCTTAAATGATCATGTATATGTGTACACATCCAACCCTTTTGGTTAAGGGTTTCCTCATGTCGTGCAGGTTATTCACCGTGCTGGTAAATACAGGTTGGTGAGAGTGAGGATCATCAATGTGGGAACATAACAGTACGGTGCTATAGTGTGCTGCCCACCACATATCGGCACAACCTATAACAACCCGAAACTGGATGTGTGGTGGTCATCTATTAAAGCACTACTCGGCAGAGGTGTGGACTCGAGTCATGTGACTTGGACTCGAGTCATGAATTTGATGACTTCAGACTCGACTTGGACTTGCATAACAATGACTTTGTCCCACCTCTGAGGTGTGGACTCGAGTCATGTGACTTGGACTCGAGTCAGACTCGAGTCATGAATTTGATGACTTCAGACTCGACTTGGACTTGCATAACAATGACTTTGTCCCACCTCTGCTACTCGGGCTCAATACTGCTTAGCTTCCAAGATCTGATGAGTCTGGATGCATTCCGGGTGATTTCACTCCTAATAATAGCTCCGAATATGAAATCGCATGTTTTTCTGGTGTGGTTCAATATACAATTAGTCTTACATTTTGAGCCTATATGTGAATATCTGAGTTATTTAATGTTGGTTTTCAATTGTCATTGTAGGTGATTCCAAAAATCTAGACTCGGCAAAATCCTCTGGAAGTGATACAGATGACAGCAATCTCCCTCTGCCGAGTGAGACTATAATACATTATCACCGTCGTCTTATCACCATACTGCATCAACGTTGCTTCCACGTATTGTCGTTTTGTACCGATACCATGTCACTTTGTATACACGTTATTATGTTGTTTGACTTGGTAAAAATGTATGGATCATTAAAGTAAGTGGGCTTGGGCAGGACAAGTCGCTAGACAATGACCGATAGCCAAGACTTAAAAATGGAGTGGCAGCTGAAACGGAAAATGCCTTAAGAGTAAGACCACCGAAGAGATGGGAGCAATGAAATCAGCCTCTATGCTACATTTTTGCATCACGAGACCATGAGGAATGGCCAATGACTTGGGGGGACGACGGCCTTCATGGCAATGTTGATGAAGAGTCACATCCCAAAATATTGTTACATGCAATGCAGTCTCATTGGTTATGCTGTCTCGTTGACTATTGTCTCATTCCCCATGTCATTATTTGCCGTTATTCATCGCCTTGTCTCGCATCCTTTCTCAATGCCCTCGCATCCCAGCGGCAGAAGACAGGAAGCGGCAGTCCTCGCATAGCTCAAGCGACGGTAAAGACAACGACGACTTGTACCGTACCCGTGGCAAGAGGAGCAAGGTGAAGGAGGCCACCCAGCAGCGCAAGAACCTCAAGACCCCCGAAACATACACACCTGGTGAGACTACACACATCTTCCCTGAACAACATTGGCTCTTCCTGTCTTTACTGCATGGTTGGGGAACCTTTTCCTTGCTGGGGACTGGTAGAATATTTACTTACCTTTGGCCAGCCACATTATTTGACACTACTTTTGATCACGCTGGGACTGTATGCATTGACTATGTGCTCAGGACTACTTGAAAGGCAACAAGGAGACTGACCATGTGAAATTCGCAACACTGTTTCCAGGGAGAATATATTCCCTTGTGTTTCCTCATTAATGCAGTTAATATGCTGATAGTAAAGGATAATTATAGTTTTTTGGCGTAGGCCGCATGTTGCCATGGGGCGTGCAAAATGAGGTTGCAGGCCATAGGTTCCCCACTTCCTACTATGTGTGACTTGTCCCCAAAGGTAGTAATGTCACGATTCATAAATGCGCTCACAAATACATGCATGAAATTGTCTGTGTAAGAGTTTAAGATGGCTTAAAATTGTAGAGAAAAGACAATGCAAATAAGAATTGATTCTCGAATTGCACCGTGACCTAGAAATGTCACATGTCGTCCACCTGACGGATTCTAGAGTGTATAGTGCTATTGACCCAGCGCCATCACCTCTTGTGGTGAGGAGTGCCTGCCTCAATAGGCGCTTGCAAATATATCTTTACCCAACAGTCTGATTTGGTAAAGTGCGAATCTCATGCCTATACATGGGTGTGTGTGCACATGCAGGGAGCCAAGAGGAGCTGTGGAGTGTAGAGATTGCTGAGACTGGTCAGGTGTCGTGCCCCAACTGCCACGCTACCATACGCAAGACAGTGGAGGGAATCAAGAAACATCTGCAGGAGTGCACAGAGGTGATGGATACCAGCATGAGTGGCACTACCTGCAGCCGTATGTTGTTCTTAATCATATAGCATCCAACATTAAGTCACAACCATTCCGTTTAAACCTAGTATAATTAAACCTTACAAATGGCATGTATTTATTCTCAATGCTGTCTTTAACCATGGCCTTTACGTTAACTCATTAGACTTAACCAAATTTCTCCTGCATTTTATGGCCATTTAGCTTTTGCAGGAAATCTTAACTGTAGTGTTTTCCCAAGCTATATTTCTCATGCTCACTGTTACCTAGATAGCCTTTGTGTACAATAACCCTTTCCCTGACCTTGGCTCTTTATCATTCACATTAACTATGGTACTCGTGATAGTCCTAATACAAGTCGCATATTAAGTGGCAAACCCTTTGAAAAACCTCTTTACTCTGGGCGAAATGACGTGGTCATGCATGTTAGTGCACGAGTAACAAGGAAATGCTGTGCCACCATCAGGAGGGGCTCAAGTGCGAGCACTGCTCCAAGGAATTCAAGTCCTTGGCAGGAATCAAGTACCACCTGTTGGCTGAGCACAACCAGTGGGTGCGTACGAGGGTTCCTTTTTCCCTGCACTTCTACCACTACCCTCACCTCCCCTATTTCCCGCGTGTGAAGTGAAGTGTTGGGATCATTTGAATTAGCATTTGCCACACCACTGTTTCACTTACGTAGTCTTTTTATGACAGTTTATTGCATTTCACCTTGTTGCTGTCACCACTTCTGTCTGCTTTTATGAACTGCTTTGTATTTTGTTTTACTTTTTAATCACTTAGCTCAGACTTGACCAAGGACCTACTAGCCTTGTCCCGTGACATACCTCAGCATTCTTAGATGTCCATCGCCTAGGTTCTTAACCCAGGTTCTCATTGGCATTGGCTGTGTGCTCTCAGCTAGTGCTGAAATCAACAGAGCTTAAAAAAGTGTACGCTTGGCATCGAGCCTCCAACATTTTGGAATCTCACCGTAATTCATACCCAGTATAATGCATTTATGACGATGATGATGCCATCTCATCTAACTGTGATCTTTGAATCGGCTCCATTAGAAAATGCTGTGCAAATTGTACGTTTATTTTTGTATTCAATTGAAGCAAAAATGGGTAGATGTGTTATTTCAGGAGTTAATAGTTGCAGCTTTACTTTGTCAACTATATGGACCGGGTTTACTCTGAAGGAGCTCTCTCAACATGTTGTCCCAGCTGAGGGTAAATCCTGGGGAGGTGCCGGACGAGGAGACTGACAGGGAACGACTGAGGCAGGTGATCAAGCGCATCGGCAAGATCAAGTGTCCAAAGCAGGTGAGAATTTTTGCAGTATGCAGTTCATGTAAAATGGTTTGCACGACATACTAAACTTTTTATTTTACCAGGTAAGGCCCACTGAGCTATATAGCTCTTTTTCAGAAGCAAAATGGCCACATGATAGCTCCACAAAGTGGCTTTTCATCACGCCAACTTTATAGTAACCAAACACTAAACGCATTTTTCTAAATGTGCAGTAAAAAAACAGAGGACCCAGAGAAAAATCCACGCGACTACGGGGAGAAACATGCAAGCTCCAGATATACAGGCATCGTCAGGGTCGGGATCGAACCCACAACCTCCCGTATTCCAAGCGAGGTAGTTAACATCTCGCCACCACCTGTTAAAGCAGGAGTAGGAAATCTATGACCCACAGGCTGTATTCATTTTGGCTGCCCTGTGACCACATGTGTACCACTTCAAAACATCCAAATAACGTTATTTGTTACTGCAAGCATCTTCGCCGCACTAGTTGGGTATTAGAGAGGAATATTTTCTATCTGGAATTACTGTGTTTCTAGTTTTAGCCCACTCTGTCACCTGTAAATGTTATCTATCATAATTGTTCTACCTATTATTGGATAACACTAAGTTGTGCATTATTATTGTGTGGTTGCCCGCCAAAGGTATTTAAAAATCCTTATCAGCCCTTGGTAAACAAACGGTTCTGTACCCCTGTGTTCAATTGTGCATACTCAGAGAGTTACCTGCTCTTCTTCACATTCGCGTGTGTGTGCTGCGCAGGGCTGTACGGCATCATTTTTGAGCCTCATGGGGTATCAGTACCATGCAAAGCGCTGCGGCAAGGACACGGTGGAGCTGGCAGCTATGAATTACAAGTGCATGCACTGCAGCCGAGAGTACCATTCCAAAGCGGGATACGACTACCACATCAACGCCAAACACAGCCCGGTCAGCACCACCTACACACACAGCCTGCGTGGTAGAGACACTGGAAATAACTTGAATGAGTTGGCCAAAGTAAACGACGATCAACCAGGTCTCCTTTGTAAAACATAATGATGTTCCCACAACCACTAAAAAAAAAAAATTGGGTTCGGGTTTAGCTTCCCACACACGGCAGGCTTTCCATGCCAAGCAATCTTTAGCTAGGCTTGTGGCCCACTTCTATAGGGCTGAGTAGCTCACATTTTAAATGGAGCTACACACTTTCTTGTGGACCACCTTCAGAAACGGATGTGACATCACTGAGTTAAGCATGCATTAAACATTTTTTTAACGATATATAATTGCTTTCCTATGGTCATGAATGAGAGGGCAGGGTTTGAACCTATAAAGCCTCAGAGCTGTGAAACACAAGCAATGTATTATGCTAGAAAGTACCAACATTTGCCTGGCACACCTCAGAAATGCAGCAATAAGAATATAACAATATTGATGGGCTCCAACCTGGATGTTCAGTAAATGTTACTTCACTGCTTCTCATAGGCTGCCAACAAAGGAGGTATGGGGGGCGAAAACGACATGCGGGGCAGTGATGATGGCAATGAGGACAATGGTGATGGGATGCGGGCGGAGGGCAATCGTTTGCCCCGCAAGTCAGCAATGCGGGCGGTGCGCCAGATACATGAGCTGGTGGTGAGCGAGCTGGCACGCGATTGGCCCCTGCGCAAGATCAAGGACGACCTGATCCCACACAGCAACCAGGCATGCACACCCACTTGCTTACTGCATCTCCTGTTGCCCTGTTCACTTTTGTATTCCCCGTTCACTCCCTTCCACTCGCTAACGTAGTCATTCGCTCGCGCATCTCTGCCCATTCTTTTTATTTCACTCGGCTTTCAGGCTGGTTGTAATAGGTTGTGTATGTGCCTATGTGTGCATGTGCTTCGTGTGCAGCTAAGGTACACGAAGCCAGGCCTGCCAAACTTCATACCGAAAATTCTGGAAAAGTGGCGTCGGGATGTGAAGAAGAAGGGCGAGGTCATATGTCCCAACCAGGTGAATAAAGCATCTTGGAAATTACCTTGCATGACACAAGTGTCTCTCATTAAGTGATAACTTGTGTCAGGGAAACTGAGTAAATCATGGATCCATATCTAAACCTAGAGCTGGCTCATTACTTTGACACAGGCATAAGTATGAGCTGCTTGACAATGCATTTGTTTTGTTTTGGTCAGGGTTGCTCATCAACATACACAAGTGTGTCTGGGCTGAGAGGACATTTGAGCGGCTGTGAGAAGGTTAGTTGGTATCAATATTGAACTGTGCCTCATTTTTTTGCACCAATTTGAATTATAATTGTCACACTCTTACATATGGAATTCATACACTTAGCACCTCTTACTGTGAATGTGTGCACAGCAGGCAAATGCACACATACACAACAGAAGAGAGATGGTGCAAACAGTGATAGTGCACCTTAAACTCTTCCTCTGTCTTCTTCAGGGAGAGCACTTCACTGGCCAATACCAGTGCCTCATCTGTCAGAAGGAGCTGGCCTCGGAGAGTGGGGTCAAGTACCACATCACCAGCAAGCACAACGTCGTACGTTGCCCTGCACACCCACATGGCCTGCCCATTCCACCGGTCTCTCACGCCTGTAGAGCAGGGTTCTCCCAACCACAGCCCACAGGCCAAATTCACCCTGCCAGCTCGTTTCATTTGGCCCGTGGTGTCACTCAAACTTTCTACTTTAAGCAGCTCTCTGGTTGCCATTGTGTTACCAATCTTGTCCATCGTCTTATCATTACTTCTATCAATGTCTTGCCTAAGCCCACTTTTGTTAACAATCAACAGTGTCTCTGATCTTTTAATTTGTTTGCCAAAGGCATGCGTTTCCTTTTCTGTCTCCGTATAATTCTCAGCATGGATCTCCATGCTTCTTTGTATGCTGTATATCTTTTGTTCATTGATCTTTGTTAGTCTGTTTCTGATCCATATGTCGTGGCGGGTAATGTGCACCGATTGAAAACGTTAATCATTAGCCACATTGTTGCTATTCATTATCAAATTGAATTTCTCAAAACCACTCAATCTGGGTCTCACTCCACTCTTCATTCTTCATGATGGTTTTACATTGTTAGCTAAAGGAAAATGCAGTTAATGATTATATAACTAGAATGCTATAATGACGTGGCTGTTTGTAACTTTTAGCATTAAATAAGCTACAAACCTGTGTCGGACAGCCCTGGACACACAGCCTTGGTAAGTATCTACAAGAGAGCCTTTATTTGGGTTGTTTAACTTTAAGTAGATTCTGGGGTCCATATTGTGGGCATTCTTATTGCCCAGTAGTAACAGAAATTAGGGATCTTCTCACTCGTCCAACTGCCATGCCCCCACATCCTACTGTGTCTACACAGAACTGGTTCCTGGAGCCGGGCAGCAGCTCTGGGGGAGACTTGGGCACCAAGAGTAAGAAGAAGAGGGGGCCTGGGCGGCAGCGCAAAGTCATGCTAGATGCTAGTGCCACTGCCACACGAACCGGGTTACCCAAGCAAGGCCGGGGACGCCCCAAGGGTGGCTCCCTGGCCAAGCAAGGACGTGGGCGTCCACGACGCTCTGTCGATCCGGCTGGTAACAGTCCCACCACCACCAGCCCGGTAAAGCGAGGTCGAGGGAGACCCAAGTGCATTCCCAACAATGCGGAATCTGCAGCAGAAGAACACATTAGTGGTGGCACCAAAGGGGAGGCGGTGAAAAGCAATAAGGGTCGCGGCAGGCCCACTGCAGGGAAGTTTGGAATGGAAGGAGGACCAAGAGAAGATGTAGTTGTCGAGGAGGAGGCGACTCTGGGAGAGGGTGTGGCCATGATGGATGAAGCTGCTATGGTGATGCTCGGAGGGTCTGGGGACGAAATAGCGGTCAGCACAGGTTTTGAGAGAGGAATTGGCGACAGAAAGGTGCGGGATAAGAATGAAAACATAGGGATGGCAATTGTGCAGCTGACACGGGTAGATGACGAAGAGATGGAGGAGGAGGTGCATTTGGAAGTAGATGGCATCACGGGGATTGAGTGGCATAATCCATAAACGCTAAAAGGATGATAACATACCATTGACCATATTGCAGTGATTTTTGTCACCAGTCTCATCCCACATGGTATTTCCACTCCATTTTGGATCAGATGTTGACAAATGCTCCAGCTTGTAATGGAGTAGCACAGCTACAATAAATGTGGCTGCAACCTAGAATCAGTCAATTAAAGTTGTAAATGCACAATATTTTTGACAAGTATTTTGAAACAAGAAAACTTAAGGCTGCAACATTTTAATACTATTTAAATGGTCAATTGTTGAGATTTATAATGAAGTTTTTTTGTGTTAGATCGTGTAAGTATAAATGTGTTGTAACTCTCCACCACCCGACACAGCCAGTAAGGTTTGTCACATAAACAACATGCCAGTTAGTTACTACTTCAGCCCACCCGTGTGTTGGAGAGTAAATCCACAACATTTACAATTTGAGTACGACATTTAGCTGGTAATTACAGCCAGCATAATTTGGCAATTTTCCAGAATAGGGAAGCAATCCACCTGCTTTCCAGTCTCAATCGGCCGATCATGCTGGAAGTAATTACCAGGGAAACTCTATGTAATTTGCATTTACTTTGCATGGATTGATTTACCTGGTCATGTGGCAAAATGCACTAAACGTCGTAAAATATTGTCAGTATAACTTGCTTATTTGAATAAATAAGTGATTGGAATATTTGTTGCAGCCTTAAACTGAAGTCAATGCTAAGTAACTCTAGCATAACTTCTTAAAAGCATGAAATTGCCCTTTTAGCGACCTATCCCAAGCTCCCTCGGTATGGTTGTGTAACCCACATGTCCATTCGTGATTCTTATAATCATTTAAAAGATATGCGTTATCCTGGGTATGTATATTTCGAATTGCTGCCTTGGCCATATAGAAGCAAGTCTACAGATCTGATGTGCTTTGCAAAACACTGCACGATAAATTTAATATGAATAAATTAGAACCATGATCTGAATACACTATTTGTAAATGACAATACAGGGTTTGCTTCATAGGTGATTATAGTAAAATAACGCACTGCAGAAACTGAAATTGAACCATTTACATGCAAACTTGCAGTGGCACGCATGCTAACCACTAGGCCACCAAGTATATTGTGTGCAGTGCATTCAGCCATGTCGCATTTGGAATGCGACATTTGGCAATGATGGTTAACAGCATGAAAATTGTATCTTTTAGAATGTTTTATGAAAGCGTTTAAAAATACTTAGGAAGTGGTACAGTTAAGAATGTTTTTTTAACAGCTTACCATGTAAATGAGAGAAAATAACATGACATTTTTTTCTGTTTATTACCTTAAGTGCACAAGCTCCATTTGCTAGTGGTGGTTAGATTATAGATTTGCATAAATATGATTTTAATTTTTTCTTATATTTACAGGACAAGTCACATTTAAAGCTACAATCATTTTGGGAGTTACTTGAGGCCAGAAGTAGCTTATAAAATGTTACTGTGTTGATGTATTATATAACAGGTTTGCTTTTTCTATAATTAATGTCTAATGTCTCGCATCTACAAACGATACAACTATCTTCATGTGGAACATCTTTATGTTTTGAGATATCAGACTTATCTCCACATTGTCATTAGCAGTGCCACATTATTCGGATAGTGCTTACATAAATCTCTACTGGATTACCATTATTTTTCAAGACCTCGCTGGTAAAAAATATTGATTTGAAGTATTATATGCTGATTTCAAGTTGTTTTAATCTGTCTTTGCTTAATTAGTACTAATAGCTTGGCTTTTTTGAGAATCTAGAAATATTATTTTGGTCATGATCAATATTGTGGGCTGAGAAACTTCTCATAAGCGCTTTGGCTTTCGAGAACAAATGTCTTAAAATGTTGATAATAGGTGTGAAGATGTTAAAACACCAAACTGAAACCTTTTACAAGGAACCATGTCTGCATTAACCACAATGCTTGTGGTCAGAATGCAAAAAAAACATACTCTGATAATATATGCATTGTCCTTGAAACTGATTGGTCCATTGTCTTTGGGCTGTACGCCTTTTGGCGTCCTCTGATCTAACACCGTTTGAGACGAGGCTCAAAATAAAGCTGTCTGGTGTGGACCAATTAGTTTCAAGGACAATATATATTATCAGTGTTTTTTGTTTGCATTCTGACCACAAGCACTGGTTAATGCAGACATGATTCCTTGTAAAAGGTTTCAGTTTGGTGTTTTAACATCTTAGCACCTGTTTTGTTGCCAGAAAAAAGGGAAAAACCCTATTATATTTTGGTACTGGCAAAGGAGGTCCCATGATTCAAAAATGTTGCACTGTCTCTTATCTTAATTGTATTCCTAAGCCCACTTAGCTTTATTTCTTAAGCGTTCATAACTTTAATATTGAGCGCTGCAATGATTAAAATTTCCCACATTATCTGATTTGTGTGTTACCCAAATGTCACTTCACGAATATATGTTTTAAAAGGCGTCACAGTATTTTATAAAAAAAAACCCATATTTTGGTTCTAGATTTGAAGCTTTGAAGACCATACTTTGGTCACTGCGACAGTGATCTAAGTATCTAGTTTGACACGTTAACCATGAGGCAGATATTTAATTGAAAATTTTAAATTTTTTTTGGCGGCTTCCTGAATTATTGCTGCTGTTACAAATACGTCTATCCGTTATTTTACCAATTTTGGTAGGACACGTTTCAAGATTTTTTTCGATAAGTCATTACAATAGTGATTCGGAATTATTGGGGGTAACTGGCTGATGGTTAAGTGTTATTACAGCTGGCTGCTCATTGAACATCCCTTAAATGATTATAGGAAAACCTCGCCGAACACGGTTTTATCCAACCCGTGTTTCGGCTATGCAGTTTACTTAATGAGGTCTGTGTTTCGGAGTTATATTTCGGCTATACGTGGTTTGACTGTTAAGATTGTTGCTAAGATGTAGTATAGGCTTGCAAGAGATGAGAGTGCTGCATCTGTTGGAAGATCCTCTGGTGTAAAGAAATTTAAACAAATGTGTGATAATGTAACCGTACTCACGCAAAACGCAAATGTTCACACATAGCCACATGCATCTAGCCGTCCACTCGAGGATGTCAGTCATACAGACACCTAGATGGCGAATCATTAATATTCAAGTGACAGTACGAGGGGCGAGCGTTGGGCGTGAGTGCCGCGGTGTGGTAAGAGTAATGGAGACGAGGGTTTTGTGTTGCGGTAAAATCGAAAGAATGCACACGCAAGAAATGGAGAGCGACAGATAACAATAACAGGCAGAAATGTAGAATTTTTTAAACAAAGAGGGAGGGGGTGATAATTTTGGACCCAGGAACGCAACTCTGTTTCCCATAATATATTGTATTTGTCGAACCCGGTTTTGCCCCATCACTGCGGTTTTTATTAACGTAACCCCCGCGCCCGACGATTTTTTCCTGTTCCTATTGATCAGGATGACCTGAAGAAGCATTCATTAGTCATTCATTAATGAGTTGGCAGGTAATGTGTTGTGAAATGTATCGTGGGTGCTCCCACTTTATTCAAAACGTTTTTGCCAGCGTGGAAGAAATAGAGCAAAATACTCTTCGAGTGGCATTTTAGAGCTCCCTTTAGTGGAGGCCCTTCCACCATCGTTGGAGTGAGCAATTAATCACAGAGCTGCACCTTGACAGTTATATTGCTCCCTTAAGTGGTCTTAACGAATAATCGCTTCGTGTTATTTTACCAATAGGTCATATGAAGTAATTCATTTGTCCAGTGACTAGAGCCTGTTCACGGTGATGTAAACAACTCACTTGTGTTGCCTGCTTAGAATTGTTTCGCTAGTTTTAACGTCGGGGAGATGAGTTGTCATGTTGGGGTGAATCAGAGCGCCGTAGATCCCATCAAAGGTATCGGATCGTCACTTTGGTTGTTGACCTTGTGAGTGAGTTATCTGCAACTCGCTGAAGTTAAACTTCGAGTTAATTCAATAAAACATGATACAGAAACTGCTTGTCTCCGAGTGGCATTTATATTCACAATAATGTTCATACCTGTAAACCCATACTGTTTACACGCAACGAAAATGAGTTTTGAGGTCCATACGGCGTACAGCTGTTTTAATACGGGCAAAAAAAATGTTTCTCGTGATGGGACTGGAGGATGAACGTTCAGATTTATAAAGGCACGGGGTGACCAATATGGTCTGAATTTGTCTAATACAGTAAGCACTGTTAAGGGGTTGACATGTACGCATCCTAATTCATTGTGTCCCAAGTTTAATTTGGTTGAACGCACCAAAATGCAAGCAGGTATTGACACACCAGGAGTTCTTCAAATGTAAATAAATCGGCGTCTCATACAAAACCTGTAGGGTACAAAGTTCATGTTATAAAACACTGCGGACAAGATGGTATGAACAATTGCCACAATAGTAAGTTAGGGTTGTAGAGTTAATATCATCGGGAACTTTGCAAGATTTATCAAACCAAAGGGTGTCTTTGTAGGTGGAGGTTGTGTCGGAATAGCTATTAAAAAATCTGAGTTGCAATTATGCCTCTGATCTGCAAAACAATTTGGCTCGGGAGGCATCAAAGAAGCCTGGTTTTCTTTTCCGCGCCAAAGCCTCCTTTAGTGGTACTATACAAAGCACACGTTTTGCGAGGGGGGAAACCCAATATATACCTCTACAGTAAGATGCCTGTCTCTCCATACGGTTTACCCGTATTCTTGCACAGGGAAATTGAGTTTTCAGGTTTATACTGGTAGGAACGAAGTGGACCAGACCACCAATAGATTAATGTGTCCGTCCGTGGGAGGGGTGGTGTTGAGGGTGGTGTTGGAAATGAAAGACTACGAGTCTTTAAATCTCACAGCGTTTCTTGTCAAAACAAACACTTTTAATTAACGTTACACTAGAATACAGTAATTTTTTCTTTAACTACTCTATACCCGGTCGATATCTCTGTACCGGTACTAAGTATTATTCCTACCAGCCCACCCCGCAGGGTCCTGTTACTGGTAGGAACGAAGTGGACCAGACCACCAATAGATTAATGTGTCCGTCCGTCCGACTGTCCATCCGTCCGTCCGTGTATCAACATCGCCCCCTACTGCAAACACTTGGCATGACCCTACAAAAACCTTTAGACTCAGTGACGCTATCCTGGTAGCAACATCGCCCCCTACTGCAAACACTTGGCATGACACGTGTAACATTCCCTTATTCCCTGAGATAGCTTTTAATTAAAACTTTGAAATTAAATAGAAAAAACTCACAGCGCCCTAAAGCATACAGCTAGGCCTAAAGCCTAGAACTAGGCCTGAAACTCTCCCTTCGTATCGTACCCCCGCGTTTGTGAAAGGGAGTTATGTTTAACAATGTTACATTCCCTCATGTTTTTAAATAGAAACATTTAAATTTAAAGCTTTTACATAAATCATTAAAACATTTAAATTAAAAATTAACTCGCAGCGCCCTAAAGCCTACAGCTAGGCCTAAAGCCTAGAACTAGGCCTCAATCTCTCCCTTCGTATCGTCCGATTTGGTGTAGCAACATCGCCCCCTACTGCAAACACTTGGCAGGACCCTACAAAAACCTTTTGACTCAGTGGGGCTTTCCTGGCTTAACAAGTGTAATAATAAACTTCGCTTCAAATTTACTTTACTGAAACGCAGCACGTTTTTTTAACACAGAGACAAGATACATTTAATCGCCTTATTTGTGCACGAAAAGCACGGCGCGAGGCCTAGTGCGGCAGGCTTCGCGAGGCCTAGTGCGGCAGGCTTTGCGAGGCCTACTGCGGAAAAGGCTTCGCGAGGCCTACTGCAGAGAAGGCATCGCGAGGCCTACTGCAGGGAAGGCTTCGCGAGGCCTACTGCAGAGAAGGCTTCGCGAGGCCTACTGCAGGGAAGGCTTTGCGAGGCCTAGTGCAGAAGGCTTCGCGAGGCCTACTGCAGGAGGCTTCGCGAGGCCTAGTGCAGGAGGCTTCGCGAGGCCTACTGCGACAGGCTTCGCGAGGCCGTCCGTCTGTCTGACAAGATGGCCGCCCGCTCCCCCTGCGATCCGTGAACTAAACAAGATGGCCGTCGCATCCGGCGCAGCCAATGACATCGCCTGTTGCAATCCTTGCTCTGTGGGCGCGCGAGTCAGTGGGGAGGGGGGTGTTGGACGTCATCGCTCTGTGGGCGCGCGAGTCAGTGGGGAGGGGGGTGTTGGACGTCATCGCTCTGTGGGCGCGCGAGTCAGTGGGGAGGGGGGTGTTGACGTCATTGCTCTGTAGGCTCGCGAGTCAGTGGGGAAGGGGGTGTGGACGTCATCGCTGACCCCCCATGCACAAATCATTTTCTTTTTAACTCCTCTATACCCGGTTGATATCCCTGTACCGGTATTAGTATTATTCCTACCAGCCCACCCCGCAGGGTCCTGTTACGGCGTACAGCCATTTCAATAACGGGCATTTGTTTTGCCTATTTGTGTTTCTATTTGCATCTCCCTCGTGATGGGACTGCAGGATGAACGTTGATATCTATAAGGGTACGGGGTGATCAATATGCTCTGAATTAATATGTAATAAGCTAAGCACTGATAAGGGGTTGACAGGTATGCAGTAATAAATACCAAAGGCTTTCATATTCTTGTTTCCTTCGGTGAAGTCACGTAGAAGGGAAACAAAATAAAAAATATTGTTTTATATTTGTCTATATAACAATTTTCTTATTTTATTGTTTCCCTTCTACGTGACTTTACCGAAAGAAACCAAAATATGAAATCCCTGCAGTCACGAAAGCTTTCAATAAAATACCAAAGCCGTTTATTTACACGAATCCCAAGAATCTAGCGATGACGTCATGTCACACTCCTTCAATAAATGACGTCATGTCACACCCCCTTCAATTACAACGTCATGTCACACCCTCTTCAATAAATGACGTCATGTCACACCCCTTCAAAAAATGACGTCACGCTCAGGAGTTTGGGCCCCCAAATGACGCGCGTGGACATTGGCGGAACAGTGCGTTTTTTTTGAATGAAGGCAACGGCGTCTCTGACCAAATTAGCGATTTACCTCGTCAACCAGCCGCTTCGTGAGCCATGGCCTCGGGTCAGGGAGGCTCGCTGCCTCCCGGTGGCGGTGGCCAGGGCTTCGCGGGCCCGGGGACGTTAGGGGTACTGGGGGGCCCGAGCGGTGTAGGGGGGGTGGTCGGAGGCGGGACCGGGATCGGTGTTTCCGCCGGGGTGCCCGGGCCGCGCGAGGTGAACATGGCCTCGCTGTGCCGCATCGGGCAGGAGACGGTGCAGGACATCGTGACGAGGACCACGGAGATCTTCCAGATACTGCGCTACATGCAGGTGAGCGATGGCTTCGCTGCTTCATCGTCGTCCACTGGCGATCGATATCGCTGTTTGGGTGATCGATATCGCTGTTTGGATGATCGATATCACTGTTTGGGTGAAGGCCACACACGTGTGGTTGATTGTTGATCAGCATGGGGTTGGAAAAAAAACAATTTTTCCAGCGGCAGGCATCGGGTTTTTTTCTTGAATACAATTAAACCCGATTTCGTGGGAATTAAATGCTGGTTTAATGAATACGAAACTCTGCAAGGCTTAGGCTGCTTCCTCGTCGGTGCTGCTTTCGTAGAATGCGGCGGGCAGGTTGGTCTTGATGAACACGAGGAGCTTCTCCTCCACAATCGTGGGCGCCAGTGAGTTCCTTAGCTTGGGGAATGGACGAAGCCCCATCGTTGAGAAGTGCGGTTCTGCAATTAGAACCAATTAAACCGGATTTCTCACAATCTCAGATGATCGGGTTTAATATAAAAAGACAATTTAACCCGACTGTGCCACCCTTGGGGTTGATGAGGCTTCACCGCGCGGGGTCAACGCACAGTTCGCTAACCACTGCGCCACCGCTCCACCCAGAGATATTATTAATAATAGAAATATTGGAGCGTTGTGTCGATCCTCTGCTGGGATGACGGCCACCACATGTGGTGTTTTAGTCGTAGGGGGTGGTTGACCATTCTCAATTGTCAGTGCGAGTTGGCGAAGGCACGGTTGCAAGTGCTTGGAACTCTAAAGAGAGTGGCCAGCCAACAGAGCCCTCTCATTGTACAGCAGACACACTCTGAACACGTTTTTCGAATGAAGCAAGATTATACGAACTTTGCCTGCAGTGACACACGTATCGTTCGCGGGCTGTATCCAAGCCCTAATCCTTTATATGTGGCCTGGGGTCTTGTCAAATCTAGCCACCGGGAAATATCCATCCTGCTAGGCCGTAAGTTCCACACTCCGGAATGAATTGCCTAGATGAACCTGGTATGTTTGTAGTAGTACACGTCTCGCCATCTCTCCCGGTGTGTCTCGCTCCATCCCTGCGTAATCACCAACCACCCCCTCGAGACCCGAACCCGCCGACCCGAGTTCGGAAGCGGTGCTGGGCCTCCCCTTGGTTGGCTCAGCCTCAAAATTAATGCCTCTGGTGTGATGTTGTAAAACATCGCCACTTGGGAGACAAAGGCGACCGGTCGCGGTGCTTGGCCACCCATCCCGCGCGTGTACCTTGCCTGCCTTTCATAGGTGCCACATTCACTAACAGCACTTGCCTCTACACTCGTTAAAGTCTATCCGGTGTTGAAGGTGGTGGGATGATGGGGGGGGGGGGATGACCTCTGTCTCTGGGATTTGCGCAGCTCCCCAACGGCGGCTCGTACTTGCCGAGCACGCACGCCGACCGGCTGAGCAAGCTGCAGGAGCACCTGCGACAGCTGACGGTGCTCTTCCGCAAGCTGCGTCTCATCTACGACAAATGCAACGAGACTTGTTCCCTCCTGCAGCCCGAGGTGCCCCCCCACACACCCCCCCCCCCACACACCCCCCAACACCCCCCCACACTTTGGCAGCGCGCGCCCCCCGTTCGCATATGGAGTCAAATCTCAGGGACATTACTGGTAGGAACCTCCTGGTTCCACCAGCCCACAGGGGATTATTGTGTCCGTCCGTCGTGCATCCAAAAATGGGAGGGGTGGGGAGGGGTGGGGCTGCGTGGGGAGGGGCTGGTCAACCCCGTGGTGCCCTTATAAAACTTAACGTTTAACCTACTCACGCCGGCTTGTGCCCGCCCTCACAGTCGGCCATATTTGCGGAATACACCACGCCGCCGTTGACCCTGGCCATTGACCGAGCAACCTAACGTTCCTACCAGCTCCCTCCGCAGGAATGTATTTACGTCGTAGGCCTTCCATCCAGACTCTCCGATGAGCACGGTTGGCTGTATACGGTGCGAAAGACGTTCAACGTACACACAATGTAATAATCGGATTCGTCAGTTTGTACTAGAAATACCGGGGTAAATGTCAGTGTTCCCTGGGACCCCGAATGTATATCCGTTATGGTGCGCGTCCTGGGTTCGATTCCCGACTCGGGCGCCTTTTTGCATCGAGATTGTATGTTCAATACTCTTTGGTTCTTTCGGTAAAGTCACGTAGGTATAAAATACAATAAATCACCTGATGACAGATGCTTGTGTTGCGCCCGAAACGTCGTGATTTATTTTCTACCTTCGTGACTTTACCGAAAGAACCAAAGAGTATGGATTCCTGCAGTCACGAAAGCTTCAAATCAAGATTTGTATGTTCTCCCCGCTGTTCTGCACGGGATTCCTCCAGTACTCCGGTTCACTCCCAAAGCTACATATGCTTGCAGTGTAACTGGTGTTAGCCAAACATCACAACTGATGAAAATTACCGACAAATTATTCAATTATGATTACACGTAGGAATATCGCCTCCTTCTGAGAAACTTGGCAGGACCCTCCTGATAGAGTAAGAACAGCAATGAACAGGCACCAAGCAAAGCGCATTTACAGCTTGTAATGTTATTTTTATTGATATTGTGAAAAATATATAAATCAATTTCAGGAAAAGTAAAACGCCACCACTGAAACCACCGAAAACCACAAACCTATTCCGGAATAAACAATCCAATGATGTAGCAGTGACTGTACTGTACTAAATTTGGACAAATGGAACAAAACGTCGGACATAATGCAGAAAAATATGCAGTACAACCCAAAAACACATCGCAGAGATAGATAGAAACAACTGCGAAAACATACGTAATTGTAATTCCCCACGTTTTTGGCAGCATTGTCTGTTCATTGCCCTTGACCTCTCAGCCGTCTTGTTTGCAATTCCAGCAGCACATTCCGTTTCTAGAAGAGGAGTCGGCACCACGGACAGAAGAGTGGAGCCAGAACTCGGCGGCGCTTCGCTTTGCTAATGAGGAGCGGCGTGACATCTCAGAGGTGAGAAACTATTCGCCATCATCGTCACGACTCGTTGTACAGTGGGAAAGGACGTTTATTGACTCGCGTCATATTACGGAGAGAAGTTTAGACTTAATTTTTTCGCAATTTTATACAAATTGTGTCATTGGTATCAATGTTATGAGATGGTATACATTCAATCTAGATTTTAAGTTTTCGTGACTGCAGGGATCCATATCCTTTGGTTCTTTCGGTAAAGTCACGTAATTGAAATTAAATTAAATTATTACATTTATTTTGTTTTATACCTACGTGACTTTACCGAAAGAACCAAAGAGTACGGTATACATTCATTGGGAACTTTCAAAGAGCAGCAGTGAAGCTAAGAGATTATCAATGTGACCCGTTTTTTTTAAAAAGGTTGTACACTTGATTCGTTTATTGATTTGCTGGTGGGACTGTCCTGTTCTGTGTGGCTCAGAAACTGAGACAGAAGAACCAACAGCTGAAGGTGATCATGGACCAGCTGAGGAACCTGATCTGGGACATCAACACCATGATGTCTTCCCACAGCTGAATACATCACCACATCCTTGATGAAGGCATATTGGTGTTATAATGTCCCCCCCTCCCATTGTTGAAGAAACCTCTGGTGCCATTTCTTAATGCTGTGTCAGATAAGACAAGGGTGCTGCATCGAAATGTATTATGAACTCTTTTTGTGGATTGTGAATAATAAGCAAACATACATGAGTCTGTTTCATGAACCCTGCAACAGGCATAAATGCATTTTTTTCTCTTATTCAGGAAAAGCGTTCTGTATCTAATGGTACATGAGTCATATATCAGATAACATCAAGTGTATCTGATGCAATTGTTTCTATATCAGATGAAATGATAGTTCTGTATTGATAAATCAAGGTTATGTATTCGATAACGTGGTTTCTCTATTGCCTAAGATGTCTGTATCTGATGGAATGAGAGTTTTTGTATCAGACCAGGGTTCAATATCAAATGGATTAGAAAGGTTTTGTATCATATGAGGCTGCTGTGTTGGATGAAACGATGGTTCTGTTTCGGATGGGACGATGGTTCTGTTTCGGATGGGTCGCTGAAGCGTGTGTGATGCACCGTTCATTTCAGACATTTTTCAGTCAATGTATTCCCTGCTGCAGATAAATATTTTTTATAGGTTTTTACTTTTTCGTTGTTTCCAAACCCACTGTTATTTCTTAAAACTCTGCATAATGAGGTTGTGGCAAGCAAACATTTGACTGAATTTTTGAAAAAAATGTTACACATCTGATGAACATTTAAAAAAAACTTCAGTTGCACGTTTGGTCTCAATAAAACATTTCTGAATGTTTTTTTTGCACAAAACATGTCCTTTATTAAAGAGGTTTTCCCACAATGTTTGACATGTTATAATCCTCCGATTCCATAATCAATGAGGCTTCTGCACGAGGCGATCTCATAACCTGCATCTCAGCGGTGGACTGCCACTCAGGCGCATTCTCTTGTGCTGCTGCTGCTGCTTGATTACCAGCGCCTGTTCCCTTTAGCCATCATGCCTTAAAGCAACGTGTCTTCTTCTTGGTTCTTTCGGTAAAGTCATGTAGAAGGGAAATAATAAAACAAATACAATTATCACGACGTTTCGGCCACAACGCAAGCAGCCGTCCTCAGGTGAAGAACAGGGCTGTCGGAAAGACAGCGTCCGAATGAACACCACCAAGCTTGGCAGCGTATATTTAAGCTGGGTTAGAGGAGGAGGGTGCCTTGACAAAGGAATTTACATAACAGGAATTTAGCATATTTATGGAAACGTGTCTTGCCCAAATTCACCGAACAATTCATGCGATGTCTCTCATTTGTATTTGATCGCTAATCCAAGTGTCCCTCTTTCTCTGTCATTCAAAGATTAATCAAATGTGCACGGCAGTGGTTATTCTCAATACATGTTATGAAACGATTACACATGACTAAGTTGTTGTTTGTGGCTTCAAAATAGTTTGGGCATAAGAACATGGTTATTGAAACTTAAACATTTGGTGATGTTGCATTGGCAGTGGTGCACGAGCACAAATAACAATCTCAACACGTGCATCACTAACACTCAATAGAAAACGCGTATAATAGGCAATGTTTTGGGCAATTACTCTTCTGTGCTATGAAAAATATTTAAAATACTTTTTTTAAAACACGCTTTAATGAAATGTACCGTACGAGTAATGGCAGAACTCCAGGAAGTGGCCCCGAGGCTTGCCATAACGTAAGGAGCCGTGGTGATTTACAGCCAACGTCAGTTGAGCGTGGACAATTAGACCCAAGCCGAAACATAACATATAAAAAAAGATTGTTTAAAAATATTTTATTTTTAATGATATAATATAGTATTGTCACCAGCATGACATCAGTATACCAAGTTTGCAGTCGATACGACATTGGGAAGTGGGTAAAAATTGAGTTACAAGGATTTTTGAGGATACGACAACAGACCAGGAGGTTCCTACCAGTATAACGAGGGCTTCTCCGCAGATTGAAGATTCTTCAGGAAGAGCAGCAACCCAGCACTTTCCAACGGGGAACGTGCTCGGTGGGGGAATCTTCCAGAAGGGGAAATGGTGGGGATTTAGTTGAAGTTCATTCACACGCGAGGTTTCTTTCGGAAGAGGTCGAGGAATCGGCGAAATTTTGAAAGGTGGATTTAACGATTAATAGATTCATTCCTATTAAACGTTTGGTTTAATAATTGTTTTTATTTTACCAGCTAAGGCCCACTGAGATGTATAGCCCCTTTTTCAGAAGTGACGTGGCCACAACGAAGTGGCTTATCATGCGGAAATGTATCGCAGCCAAGTACTCTGAAACGCGTGTGGACTCTAAATGTGCAGGGGGAAAAACGGGACGACCCCTAGAGAAAAATACACACAGGGTCGAGATCGGACACAAGGACCTCCTGTATACCAGGCGAGGGAGTTCACAATCCCAGACACTGAATATTCTGAGATTTGATTATCATCCACCGCTGGATGAAATGCCTTCCAAAGTCGGTTTAGACATTATGGATCTCATCAGCAAACGTGTTTGTTGTCCAGTGAGAATTTTTATTGTTTTATATTTTAATTATTTTATTATTTCCCTTCTACGTGACTTTACCGAAAGAACCAAGAATATGAATCCCTGCAGTCACGAAAGCTTTCAATCAAAAGTTTCGTACTTTAGTTAAATTTTCCACGCGAAAAGCCATTTCGTTGAGCTATCATTTGTGGCCAGATCGATTCTGAAAAATAAGCGAATTGCTCCAGTGGGCTTTGCCTGGCAAGGTACAAAAATATATAGTTGCGTTTTGTTTGTGCAGTACATGTTTTAAGTGATTTGTTTAGCGTTTCTATACTTTACACTCCTATCGTGTTTTTGTGTCGTAACGTTCTGACCTACCCCTCCCCTGCCGGACATTTGTGAAAAATATCTTTATGGGTCATCGGATTCCACCAATATAAATGCATTGATTCTGATAAGGAAATACATAGGCCGACGAATCAAAAAAATTGTTATTTAAATGCGGTACACTCAGGAATGTATGTGTGTTTTTCCCTTGTCCAACGCACAACAAAAAGAAAAGTCCATAATAGAGGGTTTATTTTTTGTAATATCGCGTAAATATAATTGTGTCGTTAAACCCGCCACCACCCGACACAGCCAATTAGGATTTGTCACTTAAACAGAACGTGGCAATGTAATTACTAGTTCAGCACACCGGTGTGTTGGAGAGCAAATCCACAACATTTACAATCTGAGTCACGACCTTTCGCCAGCAATTAAAGACAACTTTTAATAAGAAAACGAGTTAAGTAAGAAAAGGATTTTAATAACAAATTAGACCCAAATCGACTCGAGCCAAATAGTCGACCGCTGTGGAATCGACTCGAGAGAATAGTCGACCGCTGTGGAATCGACTCGCGCGTATAGTCGACCGCTGTGAAATCGACTCGAGAGAATAGTCGACCGCTGTGGAATCGACTCGCGCGAATAGTCGACCGCTGTGTAATCGACTCGCGCGAATAGTCGACCGCTGTGGAATCGACTCGCGCGTATAGTCGACCGCTGTGAAATCGACTCGAGAAAATAGTCGACCGCTGTGGAATCGATTTGCGCGAATAGTCGACCGCTGCGGAATCGACTCGTGTGAATAGTCGACCCGCCGTGGAATCGACTCGCGCGAATAGTCGACCGCTGCGGAATCGACTCGAGTAAATAGTCGACCCACCGTGGAATCGACTCGCGCGAATAGTCAACCGCCGTGGAATCGATTCGAGAGATATAATCAACCCGCCGTGGAATCGACTCGAGATGATTCTTCCGGAAGATTGGAAGATGAAATAAAAACGCGCCGCGACCTTCCGCTCCTCCCGTGCGCTGTCCCACTCCGCTGAAGCGTTCCGCCCGCGGGAGGCTGCGGCTACTCTCGCCTAACTTTCCCCTCTCTTTTAACCTCCCCCATACAACCCCCTCGTCCCTTCCCCTCACCCAACCTAACGCTCCTCTTGCCTTGAAAACATTCCCCATCGCCCTTGCTCGCTCGCTCGCCCGCCCTTCTTCATCTCCCGACTCGCCGACGTCTCAAGATGCGCGCCCTGCTGCTCGCCCTGCTGCTCGCGGCGCTCGCCGTAGCGACTCCCGCGGCCTCGCAGCCCCAGGCGGAGGTGAGGGGGGGGGTGGTGAGGCCGCTTCTGCGCCGAGGAGGGCACGAGGTAGCCGGTAGGGTCCGCTAGCAGAGGGCCGGTGTAGGCCGCGCGCCTCGCCTCGGTGTGGGGGGGGGGGGGGTCCTCGCACGAGGGGAGTTTGTGATGGTTGGCGGGGTTCATTTGGTTCGTGTTGGGGGTTCCGAGTTGTTGCCTCGTCTTCGGAGTCTCGGACAGATGGCTGCGAGGGGGCTGGTGCAGGGTGCGAGAGGCGAGGGTGGTGGGTCTTTACACGACGGCTCACCCACCCCACTTGACTGGAGCGTCTCTGCCGGGGAAAGTGCGAGGGAGGCGGTAGGCTCCGCTATCCCAGGGACCGTGTGGGCCACGCCTCGCTACGGGCTCGAGGAGGGATGTATGTGTGTGTATATATGTGTGTGTGGTTGCGTGTGTGAAGGGGATATTAAAATACTACGGTGCATTGTCGAACATCATCGGTTGTCTAAACATCGATTGTGGTTTTGTTGTTGTTGTAATCCACTGCTGGATGATGGCTTCTCCCACCACCACCACCACGACCCGTGTGGGTTCGTTGAGGTTATCCCATGGCACTCCTCGCTGGTCAGCGGGGAGCGTAGACACGGGGACATAGAAATACGATCCAACAATGGATTATTGTTGCTGCTGCTGCTGCACTCTTACTGCTGACATCGCCCCACAGCGTCTGCTTCAGTGACGGCGGTCGCCAATTCAAGCACTGGACGGGTTCAACCCGGATTAGCTTCTGATATCGGGCACATTACGGGTGATGTAGTAAGCGTAGAGCGACACACGGAGCAGTATTCCACAAGTGGTAAGGAATCATCGTGGGCCATTGTTCACTGCTGGATGAGGGTCTTCCCCATGAATTCTAACGGTCTCGTACGACCATCGCGCTCATCGACTGACCTCAAATGTCCTCTTGGGCGCCGACTTATCTCTAACCGAGACGGCTTTACGAAGAATTAATGGTTGTTACATATTGAATGTGTTGATGGTGGCGATGGGGGGGGGGGGTGAACGAAAATAGGTGAGCGGAAGGCAACGCGGGCAAAATCTGTGATGCGTGAATTTCGGTGAAAGCGAAATTGATGACTGTCAATGCTGAATGGATTTAATGAATGGGGAATGAGTGATTGCCGTATAATGTGAATATGAAGCGGGAAAAGTAACGGTGGCGGTTATGGGGGGGGGGGGGGGGTTAAGGTTTTGTGGGGTTGAGCTCGGAGAAAATAAGTGAGTTATGAGTGAGGAGCTGAAACTCGTGAGCTACGGTGACTGGCTTCTTTGGCTGCCATTCCGTCACCATTCCTGCCTGCATCGACCGCTATCACATCTCGCGGTGTGTGTCCAGGCGAATGATCTTTTTTTTACATTCTAGATTTGAAGTTTTCGTGACTGCAAGGATCCATACTCTTTGGTTATTTCGGTAAAGTCACGTAGGTGAAATTTTTTTTTATAAAAAAAAAATAAAAAATGAAAATAACTAAATTGAATCACGACGTTTCGGGCGCAACACAAGCGTCCGTCATCAGGTGGGGACAACCACAGCGAAAACCATCGCTGAAGCATGCCAAAGAGAGATGGATGTGACAAGGAATTATATAGCTGCGAACCAAAGAGTGTGGATCTTTTTACAGCTTCTTAATTGTCAGTTTAAATATGAAACAATCTGGTCTTTATTCATAACATAGGCGTGTTTGTTTCTCAAATAAACTTTTATCATTTTGCCTGTTTTGTTTCTTTTCGTCACGACAAGCGTTGATGGCAGATCGTAAATGACGATGACGGTGGCATCAAAAGAACAAAATGCGTCTGCTAGCACGTCCACCTGTGAAGTTGGAGCAAACGAAATAAGTGTGGGTGCAGGTGCTATGTGGATTACACCGTATATCTCAGGATTACGAGGAATGGAGGCGGATTGGGGAGGCCTGAGTACAGCAGCGGATTGAACATGGCTGATGATGAGTGTTCGGGTTTTTATGGATTCACTACTTTCTATAGGCAAATGTCACCGGTTTCGTCTTCGATTTGCGCTTGTGTGAACAGTGCCAGTAATGTATACATAGCGATTAAGTTCTATCTAGGGTGTAGTGAACTCATTGTCCTAATTTTAATCAGCTAGAGCCTTTTGAGATTTTCACGTCTTTTAAACAGGATACTCTTGGGTAAAAAGACAACTATGCATGACAAAGGTCAATGAGGGTACACATTCGCTAGCATTGGCTTGAGCAAGTATTTACAGGACTGCACCTTTACCCAGTTATATCGATCACTTATAAGCGGTTGTCTGTTAAAACCAATAATTGCTGAGCATTCACTTACCAATTTATCATGTGCGGTCACTCAACAAGGTGCCATTTATTACAAGGTTTGCAGCATATTTTTTGGCAGAGTCCTGGGAAAACCACACCTCTTCACACTTGAAGGGCTTCTAATGGCCCTCAAAAGTGAGTGAAGTCCTCTAACAGTTTCTTGTTCCTGACGGAATAGCTCCTGTTAGAGAACACTTAAACGTGTGAGGGGGTAACAGTGGGGTAGTTGTTTTATACATACTCTTATGTTTTTCGGCAAAGTCACGTAGGTAAAAAATAAATAATAATAAATATAATTGAAATAATAATAGAAATAAAATAATATTATTATATAAAACATTTTTATTTTATTTCTATTATTATTTCAATTATATTTATTAATTTTTTACCTACGTGACTTTTCCGAAAAACCTAAGAGTATAAATCCTTGCAGTCACGAAAGCTTCAAATCTAGAATTGTTTCATACACTTCACTTCAAGCCTGTGACCTGTTTAAATTCATATCAGTGGCAAGTTACATCTGAACATGAACTAGTCTGACTTGGCCATAAACGTCTACCTGTGTAAACATCGGCAGTAGGAAGACATGGGCGCAGTGGATTGGCAATTAGGGTTGTACATGTAGCGTATGTACAACCTCCTTTTTCGCAAGTCTTTGATGTTTAATGGTGGCGGGTTGGGAATTGGTGTGTGCGTATATATATTTCACATTGTGGGAATTTTAGGGAGTAGTAGCGTAGTAGTTAGAAGACCTGCGCTACGAGTGGTGGCCAGTGTTACATTCTCAACCAAAGTTAACATCTGTGCCGAATATCTGAACCGGTCCTGGGCCTTCCTTAAATCAACGCAACCTGAAGTGAGTATCTGGTGTGGTGTGTGAACAGGCCGCATGTGGGTAGACAAAGGCCTGCCAGGCATGGTGCTGACCACACAGTCTCCTCATGTGGCGTGCCAGACGTCATAGGTGCTCGCTTTATGGTACTTGCCCCAGCAGGCTGTGTAGTCTTAAGCGGGGGGGTATCTTGGTGCGTGAGTGTGGTCGCATGTTTCCGCGGCAGCGGCCCCAGGAATTCGGCGTGCGTGCCGATTTTGAGGGGCTCACCCCATTCACTCAGGCCCCGACGACCGCACGGCAGCGAGCAGCGGGCCCCCCCCCCCATTTAAAGTGCTTGGTGGAGCGACACGGGGGCAGACCGCGTGACGGCGTGCACACATACCAGCACCGTTTTGATGTCCAGCCAGAAAGAGAATTGGGGTGGGTGGGGGAGCAGTTCCTGTTCTTTAATTAAAAATAAATATATTAGCGGCACAATTGCTTCACGATTGTCCATGTGTGGCGAAGACGGGGAGACCCCAAGGTGTTGTGGATCCGCTACAAGCAGCAGAGCTGCCCGAGGTCTCTGATATTTGGCCAACTGTCCCAGAACGTGATGCCACAACTCCTGCAATGTCTTCAACAGGTCAAAAAAACAATAATGTTAGATATTAACAGCATCTTTGCGATTTCACGGCTGGATTAAATCACCACATGATACAGATCAGGGGAGTGGTTTTGCTATAATCATTATGCTTCTCATTGCAGATTGGTGATGGGTGTGGGGCCCAGGACCACTTCCAATATTACTCCTCAATGATTTTAGCCATAGCCAGGGATCGAACTCAAGTAGCCAGGTTCATAGAGCAGTACCCTAACCACTGCGCCACCACTACCCCCCCTCCCCCCACCTAATAATAATTTATTTTTAGACATTTTCTCAATATACTTCCGGATGAAGGTCTCTCTAAACTGTGGGGGTTATTTGACCATACTTCATGGTCCTGACCGGTGTGGGCTGGTGAAAGTCATCATAATAATCAATGGGTAATAAATGTCATGGTAAGCATATATATACACACACGCACTATTATTAACGTGGCCAACAGAGAATTATTCCTAAAAGAGCCTATCTCACGAGTTTTTCTTCCTTCCTTTCTTTTTGCAAATTAGTAAAACTCGTGCGTTTTTCCAGCGCACGTCCGTGCGGCGTGAAATTGATTCGACCGCGACGGCGGCCACGGGGAAAAAAACATTCACAGAAAAGGGGGCGAGGGGGGGGGGGAAACGCCACCGTGCTCGAAGGCAACTGCAAGCGCTGCCGCAGCACCTTGGAGCAATTTGCTGCCGTCACCATCCACGGACGTGGGCGGAAAGGCAGCTGCGTTCCCGTGGGGTTCCGAGCTCAAACGAACTCCCAGCTCCACTTTGTTGTTGCCCCTACCTCCCTTGCTCCCAGCCGTAGTAGCAGCAGCGGCAGCGGCAGCGGCAGCAGCAACTGCAGAATTCATTCAGGTTTAACCTTCCTCACAGTTAGCTCTCTGATGTCGTCCGGATTGTGCCACGTGTTGTTCCGCATGATGTCTAATGTTTCGCTCCACATGCGATGAGCTTTCTGAGGAAGCAAAAAAAAAAAGGTCTCCAGGGACACGCAGCGAAATGTCAGACATCATGCCAAACGGCACACGGTACAACGCAAAAACATTTGCGAGGCTATTTCCTCTTATCAAGGAAAAGCATTGAGTCTCCAAGCTATTTCAAGAGGGTCTTACATTTGGTTGTTTGGGCATGTCCTTTTTGAGGAGTTCCACATGGAGTTTACATATCTACATCCATGTACAATCAATTAGGTG